ATGACGGTGATGTTGTCGTGATGGTAGATGAGAGTGTCACTAATCGACCGGCATCCGGACAGTGGGATACGATGCCCGACGGAGTTGATGCCGTACTTCCCCAGCAGGTAACCTAGTATGGGAATAGCTTGTGCATGATCTCCAGCATGCTGAGCGTACTCCGAGAAGCACCACTGAGCCAGCAATAGCACCTCTCCTGCACCTTGCGACCAAATGAAGAACTGCTGACTTGCTGCTTGCATCAGCTCTTTGCACAAGACGGAGTTTTCCTCTGCGCTTCGCTCTAGTATCACAGTGCGGCCTGCTTCATCCAATGTCGGTTGAAAGTGCTGTGCAAGGACTTGGGCTTTGGGCATGCCGAACGTTGACACGGCGTCCACTAGTGATCTTCGACTTGCTCTGGGCTCAACCGAGAGCCAGGTGTAGAGGAGCAGTTGAAGATAATCGGTGTCTCGGTATGTGCGGCCCACGGGCATGAGTTCCTCCACGTACCGCTGACCGCTGCGGCCGACAGCATCACTGAGCAGGATATCAGCAAGCTTGCACATCTCATCGTAGTTGATCAACTCACATAGCAAGCTGTGCAGCGCTCGGATATCCTTCTCGGCCATGAAAAGCATGTGCTCTACGCTGCGCTGTATATCCTTTGCTCTTGGGTTGATGAAGCGACCTAACTTGTCACACAGCATGGCGGTTAGAAGCGTAGCCACCCTTGCAGGTTCAAGTTGGCCGCAGAGCAGCACCCAGAACGTGTTGAGGTGCTTCTTCAATGCGCCGAGCTGTTGAACAAGCCAGTATTCGTCACCGCGATCCGGGCATGTGCGCACAGCGATAAACCTTGCTGCCAAGCACTCTTGAAGTGTCAAGTGACTAAACCTCCACTGCAGTGCAATGTCAAACGGTGACTTCTCACATGCCACAAGCAGTCCCAGGTGGATGGCCTCGTCGGAGAGTCCAAGAGTTCGGAAATCTTCCTCGTAGAACACCAGCTTCCGGTCGATCAGTGTCAGGAAGGCGAACAAACCCAGCTCTAGAACATGGTCTTGAATCTTCTTTGGAACCTCTGACCAGGACGAGTAGTGCTTTGTGCTTGCTTCTTGTGGATCAGCACGCTCCGCGATGTGGAGTATCATGGAGTCGAAGATGTCTGAAATGCAGGCGGGCAGCTCGGGTCTCCACTCGTACAGTTCACATGTTGCCTTTGCAAAGAACGGGGTGGACATGATGCTGGCTAGTCTCGGGTTGGTCCCGATAGCTTCCACAACTTGCTCAGCCTTGACTGGCTCCAGTACATTGCGAATGTACTGCTTCATATCATCGGGCATGAAGCCGATGAGCTCAATACGCATGTCGAACCATTTTGCCAGCTCAAACACCTCCGGCGATGGGCGAGATGTCAGGATCAGCTTAAGTCCCACCAGCTCCTTGCCGCGGATGATGTCTTGGATGAATGTACTGCACTGCTCCATTGTGGTTTCATCAAAACCATCGAGAATGAGGCAGACTCTTTCCAGGTTGTCCATGACAAACTCTTCAATGTCATACTGGTCAGCTGGTCTCCTCATTCCAATGTGGCCCAAGCTAAGCAAGTCACTGATGCTCTTGGCTTGCTGGACTGAAACTGAGCGCAGCTCTCTGGCCACAAGCACATCAAACTTGTTCACCCACAGCCTTCCCAGTATCCAGTCCTGTGTTGCCTTGATTGTGAAGAGCATTGTCTTTCCACAGCCGGCGCTTGCAACTGCCACAATGCGGTAAGCTTCTGGCACCAATGACATGTCGTCACTTCCATCTGCTCTGAACAGGTCGTCCAGTGAAATGGTTTTCAACTGGCCGCCTGCTTCACTGTACATGTGCTCAACTCTGTCCAGATCGTTGAGCGAACCAAGCATTCCCTTCTGGTACATTTCTGTGGCCAAGACCTTGCGTGGCAAGATGAGCAGTCTGCCAAACACATGATCAACTTTCAATTTCCTGATGCAACTACTCGGAGAGAGCAAACCAAACCGTACATACGCCTGGCTCATGTATTTCTTGCTGAGACGTCTACGCAGCTGGACTACTGCTTCTGGTAGCCGCTCGCACTCAGGACAGGGAGGACTGGGGAAGTCTCCTTGCACTGCAGCACCAGCAGCAGCAGTCTGCTGCTGTCTACGTCGGCACTTAGCTACATATCTAGTTGTAGGTGCCATATCCCATTAGCTTGTTGACACCCTCTCGTTGCCTAAGCTGGATGGATACGTTCTTCAACCATCTTCCAGCAGAGTGGAGTACCTATGACTTCTCACCCACTACATCCTCCTGGCAAGCACTGAGGGGGTGCAAGTCACTACTCTAAATTTTCTTACCAGGCCAGAAAAAATATCCTGGGACAAAGAAAGAATATAACTTCTCTGCAGCTCTCTGACCTGGGTAACTAAATGAAAAAGCATATGTGTCTAACTATTATTCAGTACCGCTTTATGCAACTGTTCTGCTGTGTTGCGGCATACACATCTAGCTATATACTTTGTCTGCTCTGACCAGCCTTTCTGTTCCGAGTCTATTGTCTTATCTCAATCTCGAATCTCATTACTGACTCCTACTGCTAAAGAGAAAGATGAGAACATCATGTGCGTATGAAAGCTGGCACTGAACAAGAGAGTATCTACAGCTGCGAGCATTGTAGGGATCCAAGCATCTGCTGAGCAGAATCATAGTAGGGATGTTCAGCTGGGAACATGGAGACAATCAAGGTCTACTTAGGCCCATCCTGTTCTTGACATGCTACTTGGTCAGCCCCTGAATGTAGGGCAATAATAACATGAGTGAGACATAAGAGATGATAAGTGGCACTCGACCTGGACAGGGCCAGTCACACATAATTATGCATGCAGCATGCAAAATTATGTAGCACCTGCATCCGGGTTACATACTGCATGCAATGTACATCATCATCATTGGCTTGGGACGGTATGCATGTAGTATAGGAAATGGGCAAGTGTGGGAATAAAATTATTATGATCTTGTGGATACCAACCTTGAGGATCGAAAATCCCAACTCTTGAATAGGAGTGGGGCCTATTTCAAAATGGTTATTTCTGGTGTCATATGCCGAGATGTGTCTTGCTCCACCTTGAGTGTACTATGTGTGGGATGCGTTGGGAAGCCCATGCTGCCCTGTCACCTGTCATTGGAGACTGGTGCATCATGGGCAGCTATTCCTAATGCTGCTCTCTGGTGAATGATCCCTTAGTATGATTATCAATTTTGTTGTTGGGCTGGAGCCTGCGGTTAGCAAGTAGACGGCGTTGTGGTCCACAGTTTCATTGCCATGCGTAATGTATCCGAAGTAGCAATATTTGCAATAGGCCTACTGGCTCCTGAATTGGGTGTGCTATCTCCGACAGGGAGTAGTATTGTACTACTCCCTGATCTCCGGGACTAGGACCGGCAGAAGATCTGCACGTGAAAATGTGTACCGTATATCATGTTCTTGGATCTGTGCGCTGTGTATAGCAAGTACAGCAATGATAATTATGACACATTGTGTTAACTGGACGCTAGTGGAACTGGCTTGATGTATGCAATACTGTGCCCTGTCCGTGTACTGCATCTAACTGTTATGCGAGTTACGGTCATGTTCTGAGTTAATGAGACGGTCCCCCGATTCAGCATTCTCTTTGCTTGTGAACACAGATGTTATCTTGTGCCAGTGGAGCCTCACATTATCACTAATGAGCCAAGACCCGATGAATATCTTCCTGGAGCAGAACTAACTTACTGTACTGAAAGTTGCCTCATGCACAGTCAGGGCAGTGAGTGGTGGTATGTCGAACGCAATCCGCTCATCACGGTAGATGAACATTGTGCTGGTGCCTATCACTGTCCTGTACTGCGCAAGCTGCATTGCCGCAAACACTGCATAGTGTGCACGCAATAACAATGACACATGTGGTGTTGCTACACTGAGCGTATCTGATGGCATTCTGATCATAACGGCTAGAGAAGGTATTTGCCTTGCTCTATGTGTTCACACTGCTGTGCCGTGGGAAACCTAAGATTTAAAACCTTCAAATATCATGCCTGAGAGGAAAACTTCCACACTTTCATATTGCAGCTGTACATTTGGTGTGTGCGTGTGTGTGTGTATTGGGAGGGGGAGGGGCGTGTGCTTTGGGTAGTGTGGTGGCAGTACCCTGAATGGCCATACAATGGAGGTTGTAAGTCCACACTCAGTGCAGGCTTCTGCCTTGGAACTACTTTCTACTGCTGCCCATGTTGATGTGTGTCATGGTATGAAACCTGACATGTGGTGTTTGGTGTACAGCTCACCATCAGAAGGTGATGAGAGTGACAGCGGCTATGTCAGGAAAATGAGGCTCCAGTTCAGTATGCACTTCACGATTCCTTCCGAGTCACAGCCTTTGGGTAAGTGTCTAGACAGTTTGTAATCATTGAATAGCGATAATCATTCAATGAAAGGCAGGTCGTAGTGATAACAGCTGCAGGTTGTCGGCAAGGAAAAGGAAATCAATGGGACTGAATCTTGGGTCTGTCATGTTGGTGATGTCGACTCCCCCCCCCCCCGGCCCATAGGCAGTGTGTAGTTTTCATTTGCAATCCTGCTGTAGACCGACCGACTCTATAAGGGAACTTTTGATATAACCAACTATAAAACGGGTGCACACACCACATCTATGAGATACACTGCAGAAGACTGTGTCTCCAATGCCTGTTTCTTTGCTTTGCCCTCATGATCACAGAAGCTGAACCTACAACACTGAGACTGAGTAGTAACTCACAGATGGCTACTCAGTTGCGTTGTAATCTGCAATAGCACAAGCAGCATGGTGCACTGCTGATTCCAGCCACTGCAGCAACGCCCTCCTGCCCCGGTCAACCATTACTGCACTCTACGCTGAAGTGCAGCTGAGCATGGCTCTCATGGCAACCAAGCCATCCTTGCTGGTCACTGCCGCTTAGCCTACGTAAGTTCTTGATGTCTGGCGACTGCAGCAGCACACTAGCCATTGATACTGATCCTAGCTATATAACACACTCAGGGCGCTATCTTGATTCTTGACAGCTAGAAAATTGGTTTTCCTGTTTCCTTGACAGGTTTATCTGATATTTGTCAGTAATGATGACACACCTGTCAATGTAATGATGACACACCTCAGTGTCATCCACCTTGTCCCAAGAGTACATGGCAAGCATGCCCATTGTTCTCTCCACCATTGTATCACGCCCGGCCGAAGAGTAGATGTGTCTGGGCGATAACTATAATTACAGTTCCCAAGAATGGCTTACACTGCCTACTAGTTACTAGCTACTAGTACAGGTGTATACCTTCTGACCGTAGCCACCCAGACCTGATGCATGCGAGTCATGAATAGAAGACTGTACCTGCCCAACTGCTTGCCTGCCTTTCAGTGCAGGTAGTGCATGTATTGGTGTTGGATTTGTGCAGACAGTTTAGCAATGGCAAGCAAAACCGGCCGCCGCCAACTGTTGCTCATGCCCATGGCATCGTTCTCATCATTGCTACATGTTTTCCAGGCAGGTGACTGTAGCAGGTCACTAGCAGATGTGGCACAGAAGTCATTGTAACTGCATGGCTGTTACGTCTCTCTCTCTCTCTCTCTCTCTCTCTCTCTCTCTCTCTCTCTCTCTCTCTCTCTCTCTCTCTCCTCCCAAGCCTGAACACACATGATCATGTGAAGGAGAATTGAATGGACTGCTACATCATCACCAGCAGCGGCGGCGACGGTACCAACAAAAGCAGTAGCAACAGCTGCAGAAGACGAAGGACGATTTCCCCCGAGTTCCTTCAGAGAGGTATGTACTTTAAGTAGATAATAATTATATCAAGACGAGCCATGATGACGGAGCATACATACGCGAGACTCGACTGAATTTCCCGCATCCATGGGAACTCCACTAGTGGACCAGTACCCTGATTCCTGAAGGATCAAGGCACAGATGCAGCTCCTTAGCAATGGGAGGTGACCCACCCGCAAAGTGATCAAAAATCCCATTCACTGCACCCATGCTAATAGTGTGGTGGTGTAGGATAAATGAATAAAGTAATGCTCTCTGATTTTCCATTACTATAGACTAGTAGACCACCCAGATTAGTTTGTTGTTTCGGGTCACCTGACCGCAATTTCTTGGTCCAATGCATTGTGCACGTAGAAACATGACTGTGTACACATGCTGATCCTAACCCTGCGCACACAAACGGCAAGAAGCGAGAAATGCTTCCATAACGGCGTAAGGATCCCAGGCATAGGCTGCAAACACATTCACATTTTTCGATTTATAATCATGCGTACTTGTATCGGGAACTTTCACAAATAGGTCCACTGGAAGTAGCATACCAGCACACCAATCACCAGGCAAACGATCTACTCCGTGTTACAGGGGCTGCTTCACTGTCCAATTTCATTCTACCGGCTTCGCGCATTTCCAGCTTACCATAATACTAAATGTTCACCCTGGTACACAGCATGACATGACTCCAGGCCTTTCCCGAATAATATCCCCAGTTTTCTAAAGTATTCAAGAAGATCCAATGATTTATCCATAATCATTGTACAGTAATAGCTGCCTGCTCATCCTACTACCTCATCCCTGGGCCACAGCATGATTGATGAACTTGTCATCTGAACACAATGAAAACCTTGAACCGTTGTCTGATGATTGGTTCAGCCGTGAAACTCTGAGTCACAACGGAATTTGCCAAGGGTTTCATTGTGCGCCTTTGTGTACGCCGCTCTGCCTGAATCAGAGGTATTGAGGAGCACTTTCGCAGAACCTAAGCCTACTCTGTAACTTGTCATCTCTTGATGTCTAGAGAGATATCACACATTCACCGGACTTGGCAACTTCTGTTGTCTTCACGAAAATTATGCAATTCTACACTGCCCTTGCTTTCAGATCACACAAGAAAATCAACACTACGTTGTACAAGTAGCAGCAATGGCAGGACATCGAACTTCACTTCCAGGAAGACACTTTAAAACACAAGAATTTTATGGTAGGAGCCTAACATTAAAGAATGTGAATACCCTCCCTATGAACAATGCCATACCAGAAACGTAAGGTAAGAAGATCAGAAAAGGGAAAAAGGAAAGTCAGAGCAGAGCTTTCTTGTGTTTGATAATTCTTGGAAACTATTTTCATTCCGCTTTCGTATGGCAATAATTATGGTTTAATGCGTGCAATGTTTCACACAAACTCAACAAAAGAGCATAATAAAATGAAAATTGATGAGGGTAGGAAAGGTAAAAACTGGATAAAGGGTAAAACATATACAATAAGGAGAATAAATATGAACAAAGTGGGGAAGAATGAACATCCGATACTCAATGTACAGTGAGATGAGTATGCACACTGAGTAGTGAGTATGCACACTGAGTAGTACCATCTTAGTAGTAACCACGTTATATGTACAAGAAGGGTTGTTCGGTGGTGCTCCTTTGTTGTTGCTGCTGCTGCTGCTGCTGCTGCTGCTGCTGCTGCATGCAGGGACACACCATAGCAGCTGCAACGAAGACGGCACTAGTGTTGTGCATTCATGTTGCTTGCCATTGCCAATGCACACGCCAATTTACGTCTGAATCCTGGCTTCCGCCGTTGTCACGGTCATTGTTGGCAAGGCATCAATACCGAAGTCGTACTGTTGGTAAGGCATCAATACCACCAAAGTCGTACTGTTGGTAAGGCATCAATACCGAAGTCGTACTGTTGGTAAGGCATCAATACCGAAGTTGTACTGTTGGTAAGGCATCAATACCGAAGTTGTACTGTTGGTCCAGACCCAGGTAGCAGTCACTCATGACGTACACTGTGTAGATGTGACGACCAGGCTTCTCCGGTGCCAGCAAGTTGATATTCACCGTCTGAGTGCCACGGAAGAAGCCAACACGTTTCAGTGCCAGCAGCTCTCCGGTGTCTGCTTCACCGATTGCCAGCCACCAACCTTCGTCTTTGACCTTGCCAAATCTTGGAGTTACGGCCCTGGACTCCGGTCGCTAAGGAAATTAAAACCGCAACCAACACACATTATTATTATTAGATTTGGTTAGGATAAATTAACTGACCATGTACATCAGGTGAAGCCATCTAACAATTCACGGATATCAAAACCCTACCTGCAAGATAAAAATCAAATTGATACCTAGATTATTATACAGTCAGACCTCGCTTATCCGGTCCTCTTTTATCCGGATCCCTCGCCATCCGGAAGAAAATAGCTGGTTACATATTTACAGCATACGTGATGCATCCAACATAAACGGTGTTCGGTTATCTGGTTCCCTCGCCTATCCGGATGTTTTTGTGGAAAACAGATGTGTGCGGTTATGCGAGGTCTGACTGTACTTCACTGAATGAGTTTTAGTTATTAATTATTTTGAAAGAACTATGTAGTAGGGCATGATGTTCATACTATTTACTGTCGGGTATAAAACATTCGATTTAGAATCAATTTTCCCAGGAAGATTTCCTATGATTTCCCATGTTGCACACTAGCCTAAACCATGTGCAGGCAGTCAATGCGATCATATTCTTCAGCCAAGGACCTAGCTCCTACTCCAGTTCCTTATACGATGACGTACAGCTAAAGTCTTTGCCCATCTGTGTATGTGTAGCTGCTGCAAGGCAGCAATTCGGATGGGACACAGAACATGATTGAACTGCACTCTCCTACCTACTGTCGTGGACATGGAAATCCGGTCGCACGTCTAGCGGCCCCAGGGCGCTGGCCATGCAGCCGTGGATAAGCGGTACACACATGGATGTTTATGCGCTGCATGCAGCGCGCGCGCTGATTCAGTGATTGCATCGGATCAACATGCACACTGCACACTGCACTAGCGGTCTGTATGCGCTGAGGGCGCCGGCCCCGGTCAATCAACTGGATTTTCATGTCCGCTACAGTACCATGCAAGTACCGGCATGCCACAGCCTACAAAGCTCTTTCAGACTTTGCACGACTATCAAGCCAGTCCCACATAGGACACAATTTCTTTTTCTCCAGCAAAATATGGAAAAAGATACGGAGCGGTTGGCAACACAGTGAGCATGTGCTCTCACAAAATGACAGTCAAAGAGGCCACCATACCTTATTACTTGCTTGATGCCGCCTCAGCTGTACACTCAGAGTGCAGTCACCCTCACAGTTCACAGGTATCCAGTGCTTCTCAGTAGGCCGTGATGTTAGCGGCATGCACTGAATCTCATGAGACACACTGCCACCAGCTGCAGCACGACGAGCACCATTGGAGCCCTTGGGATGAACAGGAAGGTCAGGGTTGGTGTCCTCCTCGTTATCGTCGGCATCACCATGTCCACGTGCTGCTGCTGTTGCTACACCGGTGCTTGTGAGACGCAGTCGCACATCGATAATGGGCAACACATCCAGGACACTGAGAACCTGACAAAACCCAGATTAGAACAAAGCAGAGAAGTTAATGATGACGATAGCAATGAATAAAATAATATGTACATTCATATCACGAAAAAAGCAACCACAGTGTTGCAATGGTTGCATTTTTCATCTTTGTACGTGAAGCTACAGAGTAGTAAAACTATCTGCTATTTTCACTCAGTAGTATAGGGGGAGCAACAGGACATCCCAAGTATAGGGGGATACCTTCAGGTGAGCCAGAACCCCCTCCCCCTATACTACTTCACTCCCTTGGTGTTCACTCTTTAAAAGTGTATAAACCCTATTGTTTTCTCCTTTCCTTTCAGTCACGAGGTTCCAATGAAAATTATCACAAGAAAACGATGCGGAACAGATCTTTGGTTTTCATGTTCGTGATACGAGTGTGCATATTCATAATGATTTTATATTACTAATTTACGACTTTTGTCTCACGCCACCTGTTCGAATGTGGATGGGGGCTTGAACTAAAAAGAAAGAAAGAAAGAAAGAAAGAAAGAAAGAAAGAAGGCCAGCCATCTTCATAAATAAGTCTCTTCTCAGTCTTTCAAACGCATGCTGAACATGAAGAAGTGTGCAAGGAAGAGTTGACAGTGGCTTGACCAGTGACGCAGTGCCAGGTGTTAGTATGAAAGCACACATGCACACACAACCATGCACACGCACGCGCGCACACACACACACACACGCACACACACCCATGATGTGAATGTTGCTGTCAATAGGTCCCTAAAGTGTATACCAGGGAACAACTGCTGCGCACCCAACTAGTTACAAGGACAAAGTGCGATCTGCTACATGTAGTGCTAGACAAGGAATCCTGCTACATGTAGTGCTAGAGAGTTCTTTAAAAAAACACAAGACCCCAACAACAAGATGCATACGCTGTGTGGTACATGACGATGGTACAAGATGCATACGCCGCTGTGTGGTACATGACGGTGGTGCATCAGAACATATACATACCGGTGCAGTGTGCTGCTGACTGCCAATGACCTTCTCCAGCAGGTGACGAGTAGCGGTGGCATCATTCTCATACGCAAACAGTAGCTCAGCAAGGCCTTTGATAGAACTAAGCACGGTACTACCGGTGTTAGCGTCACTGCTGCTACGTCCTCCACGGCCTCCTCGACCTCCTCCTTGCTTCCGGGGGCCAGCGCTGTGCTCTCTGCTGAGAAGACGGATCGTGAGATTGGCAGAGGTCAGCTTGTCGACAGCAGCCTGATCAACGTGTGGTAGTGTTAGCAGTGAGCTCTTCTCCAGCCAAGCACCTTGCACACACATCTGCACTGTATGCATGCAGCGTAGCGCTGTGGCCATCCAGCCTTGGTCTGCCACTACATCTATCATAGCCTGGACAGCACACACCCAACACCACCAGCAGCAGTGGCCAGAGCATCGACAGAACAAAACATCAGCAAAACAACAGAGCTATACTCGACACAAAGGTTTTATTACAATCAGCAAAATGTGAGAACAACAGAACTACACACTACTCAGTACACACTACACACTACACACTACACACTACTCAGTACTTTGAACAACAGAACTACACACTACTCAGTACTTTGAAGTACTTTTAGTACTTTTTTATTTCAGGAGATAACGCGCTTCAGCAAGTCAACCACCACACATGTAATAGTGCCGTGAAAAGGAATGCGGCTGAATGGCTAAAAGGCAGTGGGGCACAAGTGACAAGACCCAATCTAGCACTCAGTGATAAAGAGTAGGAAGTGTTGATGTCGCATCTTGACAACATGCTGCAGCTTTGCAATGTGCACACTGTACTGTGCATCTACATAGTACTGTATACTATGCTTGCTGCACCAATAATACACATGATGATACATCACCCATTTTTGCCTGTCAAAGCTCACCATAGACAAGAACACCAACAGTTTGAATACCTTCACATAGCTTGCTCTTGTTGGAAACTCCAAAGGTAAGTTAGTACATGTACTCCAAGTTTAAAATTTAAAAAAATTCCTTTGCAGCAGTATGCCATTTGTGCAAAGACTAGCTCACCTGCAAGATTCTGAGCGCTTGGTCCAGGACAGACTTGGTATCTGTGAGATAGTCAGACGTTGGCAAGGCCGCCCGGGAGAAGTGTGCATGCAGCAAGATCAGCGCCTTGGTGTGAGAGCTGTCAAACGATTGGTCGGGAATCTCCAGTGACATCTGCTCGGAGAGGGTCCTGAAAACAATAACAAAAACACAATCGTAAGATAGCTATAAATAAAATGATACCCGTGCTCATGTCACAAAGCGAAGTAGCAATAGTTGAAAAAAAATACAAAAACGCAATCATTATGGTGTATTCGGCAATGTAAAAAGAAAGAAAGCATGTGTGTTTGTAATGGTGTAATGATGTGCATTTGTAATGACACGCTCAAACTTATTCTAATGCTAAGCTCAATGCTGTTGTTTAGTATCGCAGTTAGGGAAAGCACAACCTTTGGTGGTGGAAAGAGACTGCTACTGCACCAGAAACTAGTCCTAGCTTGTTATACTTCAGGGAGGCAAGAGCCAGACTGGGCCAGTGCCAGTACTACTACAAGTACAAGTACAGAGTTTACAAACAGCTACTACATGTGTTCTCACTTGTTCAGGCCATCTTCATTGTGGCGCACAGGTAGCTCTGCATACTCATGTACATCCTAAACACAAAACACACAAATCACACATCAAACATACCATCCACTCAACATCACGAACATACCACACTGGTCCCCTACTCCGCTCTTACAAATGTGGTGAAAAAAGAGAGAGTGAAGCCCACCAAATTGCAAACCAGGGGTAAGGAATAAGGATTTCTTTGATTGCACACAGCAAAAAAAGAAAAGGAAAAAGATTCTCTGAATACGAAGTGATTTGGCTTTTTTTAACATTTGGCTTTTTTTAACATTTGGCATTTTTTAACAAATGTGTAAAATTTGCTTTTCTTCTGGCTGTTTCTCTGCTCCGGATGGCTGTATCGAAACATGGGTGGTGACAAAAGAGAGCCAGTTTATCGTAGATCAATATTGACCAGGAAATTTGGTGCATGTAATTTAATTCTCCCTGCCACATCGGTATAACTAGTGGTGGGTGCTTTGCCATTTTGTGTAAAATGTGTAAAATAAGCCCTTGAATGGACGAGGAGGGCAGTGAATTGCTTCCGCAGGGCCTTTGGACGGCGTCAGGCCGTCTTGCCATCACTAAACACAACAATGAAGAACAGTAGGTCACGGAATACACTCTGTGAGAACGAAAACATGGCTGCGATGCTATGCTACCTATCCAATTCTACCGTATGACACAGCCACTAGTTACAAATACAAAAACACGGCTTTCCGGCAGCATACAATGCAGTTGACAGATTAATTTTCATCCACTAGCATTCCCCGAAGTGATATCTATCAACTTCAGAACATTGATAACCGAATATCCCAGTTTGTGATGCCATTTTACAAATTTGTTAAAAAATGACACACCAATTATTTGAACCCTGAGAATACTATGAAAGTAGGACATGATTCAAGACACTTTCCAAAGTGGGATCATTCCCATTTTTTGAGACAACGGGCATGAAGGATAGCACTTCCACTTGCAACAATTCATTTGGACGTAGCTTGCCTAGAAGTGGCTGAAAAAACGTCATTTTACAACCATGTTAAAAAAAGCCAAATCACCTCGTACCACTTTCTCACCAGTAATTTCGCATGCCAAGTCAAAAAGATTCGACCACGCCAGGATTCGAACCTGGAATCTCCTGATTCGTAGTCAGGCGCCTTATCCGTTGGGCCACGCGGCCAGGTCTGTTGTGCAATGTGTATACAATGTGTGTATAATGCACGTGTGACGCTTTGGATCAGATTTGCTTTCGACTTGTTTTCAAGGTGCAATGCTCCAGCTAATGGCCACGGCCATACGAGAACAATCCGTTTTCAACGTGTGCACGAGTGGCTTGCTCTAGCTGGCAAGCACACGATCGCGCAGTTACAACAGACATCATGCGTCACTTCGTAGTGAACAAGCAAGTCCAATGGTTCAGGTTGGCAAGTAGTTTGTGTATTGACCGTTATTCTGTGCATGTCCGTCGTCAGTCGAGTCCTCCTGTTTTCGAGCTTGCCCGGGGTGATCCGACCCCGCAGGCAATACACGAAAAATCCCATGAAGATACCTGCCTGCTCGTGGAGGGAGGTACTTGTATTTGCAGACAACCCTCACGCGACATGCAATACTATAGGATTTCTAGTACTGTATACTAGTAAGCAGAATTATTCGTCTGGAATTTAATTTCGTCTTTTTCGTCCAAGGAGGTTTTGGACTAAATTTTAGAAATGCCGGACTAATGTCGATTTGTCCAGCTTTTCAATACATTCTTATGATCCATGGACGAAATCTACAACCAGATGAACTCCCTTTTGGACGAAATTATTGACCGGCGAAATTTTCTGCCTGTACAGTAATTGTTTTCTTACTGTATTAAGCAGACATCCATGTGGAAGCTAGCTGCACACTGCACTGCACTGCACTGCACACATGTAGTGTTGGTGAGGTTTGATAATGACGGAGGGCTATTGGGAAGCAAAGCAAAAAAAACTCGACCACGCCAGGATTCGAACCTGGAATCTCCTGATTCGTAGTCAGGCGCCTTATCCGTTGGGCCACGCGGCCTGAGCTGTATCTTTCAACCACCCGCCAGGCAGATTAGCAGATTAGCACAATGTCTAATATTCTTTTTAGCCTTTCCCAAACCAGCCGACAGACACACATACACATACACGCCCGCACCTACACATACACGACCGCACCCATACATACACGCCCGCACCCACACATACACGCCTGCATGCCCGCACACACGCACGCCCGCCCGCACCCACACGCATGCCCGCCCGCACCCACACATCTCTAGCACAGGGAATTTCAAATCCCAAAGGAAATGCAGCACAAGCAAGACCCAGTGTAATACAAGCTACACGTGGTGGCAACTTACACAGAGTGTCTTGAGTACATCAGCGTTGGTGGATGACTGGTGAAGGCACTCACAGAACACACGCACTGTACTGTGATGGAGATAGTAGTAGGATGCTATACGGCCAAGGGTGCCTGCTATGATAGTGCGACCATCCTGATACACATACACATGTACACAGAAATACATACAGTGACAAACACACACATACGTATGCACACACATACACACACATACGTATGCACACACATACACACACATGCACACACATACACACACATACACATGTACACAGTACGTGCGTGTGTGCGCACGCAAGCATACATGCAAGCAAGCACACGCATGAGGCGCATGTACATGTACATGATTCAGCAAAGAAAGAAAGTGAAGGTCACACCTATAGCAGGGGTAAAAGGCTTAACCCTTTGTGCGCTCAACGAGCAATTTCGCTCGTTTCAAACGCGCGTCACATTTTTGATCGTCGCGCTTGACTGGTTTACCGCATCGCGCCGAGGCTTCACCACCGCGTAGCTGAGAAAATTTCCGTGACGTAGGTACTAAACATGATGTAGGTCGCCACTAACATTTTTTTGATAGCACGCTTTCAAAGAGCCTTTGATGTCAAAATTAGAATTTGGACTTATCCAGCGATGGATGCAGACGAGGCTCTTCGCCTAATACAAGACGCGGACCAAGCAGATCTCCCAGTAGAGGATATCGCTTGCTCTTCAGGCGACGAGGTAGGTGACTCGGACAACGATTTTATTTCGTCTGACGAGGAAGATCGCCTGAATGACGATCTCTTTTCCGACTTGGAGCAAATAGGATCCGATTCGGCTGACGATATCGCTATTCCTGTTCCCGTCGCTGCTCGTGGACGTGGCGCTGGACGAGGCAGAGGCCAAGCAGTAGGTGTCCCCGCGCGTGGAAGAGGGCGAGGACGTGGAGCTGCGACAGGGCGAGGACATTGAGCTGCGACAGGGCGAGGACGTGGAGCTGCAAGAGGGCGAGGACGCGGAGCTGCAAGAGGGCAAGGACGAGGACGTGGTATACAGTACGAAAATTGTAGTGGCTATGATGATTTTGACCAGCTGCAAACCAATACACCTGAGTTCAACATAACTGGCACTGGTTTGAACCTACCTGATAATTTCGCTCCAGCATGTGAACTTGATTTCTTCAAACTATATTTCCCGGACGAAGTTGTGGATTCAATTGTCAAGTTTACAAATTTGTATGCGCACGAGCATATCGCTGAAAAAAAGACGTACCAGACGGATGGTGTGTGGAAGGAGACCGACCGTAACGAGTTTTACGACCGCTTGCATTTCTCTTGCGCTGATGTGCTTCATCAAGATTGTGGACTTCAGGGCAGAGGATATAAATGATCGACTTCGTAAGGTGCGATACCTTCACGACCATCTGCAGGCGGCCTGCAAGCGTTTGTTCATCCCTGGCAAGTGCGTTAGTGTTGACGAGCGCATGGTCAAGTGCAAGGGACGCGCTCCTTTTACGCAGTATATGCCCAAAAAGCCCGTCAAATGGGGCTTCAAGGTCTTCGCTGCCTGCGACGCCCAAAGCTCCATTGTTGTAAACTTTGAAGTTTACACAGGCCAGCAACCTGGAGGTGAAAATGGCCTGACTCATGCTGTGGTGATGCGGCTGGTCAGTGACGTGCGCGCCGGAAGTGTGATCTACACGGACAATTTTTACACTTCCGAAACCCTGGCCACATCTCTTCGTACCAAGCAAATATCGTTGGTTGGCACCGTCCGCGCGAACCGCACTGGATTTCCAGCCGTATTGCGGACCAACATGAAACAGTTCGAGAAACATGCAGAGCGAGGTGCAACACGCTATGTTCGCAACGGAGATCACCTGTACCAGCAATGGAAGGACAAGCGGTGTGTGTCCATGTACAGCAACATACATCAGGGCCATGAGCATGACACAGTAACAAGAAATGTCAAGATTGATGGTGCACACCAGCAAATGGAAGTGCAGAGGCCAATGTGCATCAGAGACTACAACAGCAGCATGGGTGGAGTCGACACGTTCGATCAGCTGATCGAAACGCACCGTGTGCTTCGCAAAACGAAGAAATACTGGAAGAGTCTCTTCTTGGATAAGGTCGACGTGTGCGCTGTCAATGCATACCGCCTCTTTCACTTGTGGCAGAGCCAGCATCCAGGGGTGATAAGTCGACGATGCAACTTGCAGCACTCGGATTTCCGCTGTAACCTCATCCGGCAGCTGTCATCGATTGATGAGCATGCACCGCCACCGAAGCGCTCGTATCGCCCAGTGCCTGTTCCGCAGGATGTCCAGGTTCCTGTTGCTCAGCTTCACATACCTGGAGTGAGGAAAAGGAAGAACTGCAGAAACTGCACAGAAGTGGGTAACAAGCAGCACCAGTGTGTAACCTACTGCCCTACGTGCGATGTTCACCTCCACATCACGAGCGACCACGACTGCTACGCCGCTTACCATGCATGCCACTTCCCGTGAAGGATATCTTATCTCAGTGCTGTGAGTTTCTATCTTGTCTACTGTATATTTGTACATAAAAGTATGGTTTCATTTCCTTCCTATGGTGCGCTCTGTAAATAACGCGGCTATACACTTGATTATGACAATATGTGCCTAATATGGCAACATTGGTAACCATGGCAACATTCTAACATAGTTTTTTGGATTCAGCCGAACGATTCCATTCAGAAAAACACAACTTCTAATTACAAATTCTCAAAAACTGTGGAGTTACAGGGGATTATTGTCGGAATGGAAAATTTGGTCATTTTCTCCGAAACCAGTGGACTCACAAAGGGTTAAAGCTCTCGCCGCTTCATAGCTGCTCTGGCTAGACAGTCCTTTCCAAAGGCACTCTCATAAAACAAATGATAGAAACTTTCATATAAATAGCAATAAACTACAAATTAGAACTATGCAGGATATACAGTACCTCGTCGAACGATATACATCCAGACATCTCCAAGTCGTTGAGTGCTCGGCCAACCAGATTGGACAGAAATCCAGTCAGGCACTCATGTCCAGTGTCTTCTAGCTCATAATAGCTGTGCTCACAGCAACCAACAATGGCGCAGCGAGAAACACAACAGCAGCAGCAGCAGCAGCAGCAGCACCACCACCACCACCAGCAGCAGCGGAGAAATGACCACCCGAAGCAGAGCACAGATGCTTCGGTTTCCAAGTACACACAGCATAAAGCAGTATGGTCAACAAGACAACACTGTAGAGACAATGCAGAGAGAAGGCCATCTTGCCACAGGCCAGGGGTTGCCACAGCATGACATCAACAAGGAAATTATATCTAATAAAACAATGGCCAAGAACCAGACAAATCTGAGAGTACCCGAGAGTATCTGAATTTGAGAGTGTGTTGAGGCACAACAGCCTTGGAGCAAAACTAATCACTATGTACCACTGGCACTACATGCAGCAACCTAGCAGCCTAGCATGCACAACACACACGCACGCACGCACACACGCACACACACACACACACACACACACACACACACACACACACACACACACACACACACACACACTTACGTACGTACTACCCACCTTGCACTACATGAAGCCTACCATACACATCACTACAGTACACACATACAACTTTACCCACCTTGGGTTCATGACCAGGCGACGGAAGAAATAAGTCCATGTCAGATAGTCGAGCGCTGCCTGCTTTGTGCCAATAGTACCAGCTACTATCTCAGCATTCAAATGGTCGGCCAACACTTCTAGCAAACTGCCATAAATGCACAAATGTACACAATCACGCACACATGCACACACATACACACACACACACACACACACACACACACACACACACACACACACACACACACACACACACACGGGAAAGCTATGGATAGGTGACACATGGCGAAAGTACTGAAAAATATGTCACCATCACATTACTCCTGGTGATAAGAGTCACAGCTTACTGTATTCAACCCCCCCCCCCCCCCCCCCACCACACACACACACACACAGATGTATACACGGATAGAGCATTAGCAAGAGAAGGCAAAGCAGACAGAAAGGAGAGCATCACTGACAACTCACTTGGATTCGACCGGGAATGGCTCATACAAGAACTTCTTGTAGAAGTCTTTCTTGATGTCGTGTACAAGAATACATGCCACTCCCTTGTCATCAAACTGTGGCCGACCAGCACGGCCCATCATTTGCAGCACATCAGTGATGGGAAAGTCCACATAGCGATGCAACTTTCCATCAAAGTACTCAGTACCCTTGACAATGACAAGATGGGCTGGGAAGTTGACACCCCAGGCTAGAGTACTGGTGGCTATTAAAACCTAGCAGCGCCAACAGCAGTAGCAGCATCAGGAGTAGGAGCAGCAGGAGAGGAGGAACAAGAGTATGAGCAGCAACAGGAGAAAGAGGAGTAGGAGGAGAGCGAAGACGATGGGTACAGCAGAAGAAAAGGAGAACCACCGTGAAAACAGAGCACACAAATACATGTACACATATTACAAGGAAGCATACATACTGGCAACCCCACCACCACCACCAACACTACCACCACCAACACTACCACCACCAACACTACCACCACCACCACCACCAACACTACCACCACCACCACCACCACCACCAACACTACCACCACCACCACCACCAACACTACCACCACCACCACCACCACCACCAACACTACCACCACCACCACCACCACCACCACCACCAACACTACCACCACCACCACCACCACCACCACCACCAACACTACCACCACCACCACCAATGGCCATGTGTATACAACAAAAAAGTTATTAACACTTGTAAGCAACACTCTGTCATGACATCATTCCACCTTGCAACAACCTGATACTACACCACAGGGTAGTCAAAAAAATAAAGATGAAAACCCCAACCACATAATATTCATTGGTTCGAAAGAAAATTCAAACGGGAAAATACCCGAGCTAACAAATATTGTCACTAACAGCGGCAGGGCTACTCTTGATAGTCATCAGCATTATGCCACTTCACAATCATCTTCCTACCACTTCACTATCATCAAGTAGCATTGAGTGAGTGCAACCGGCTTTTTCCAAACATTCATTGTCCACAACCCTACTGATTTCTGACTTCAACACTTTCCGTCCTGCCTTTCTGTCTGTCTGTTATAGTACTGCTCCCTTACTGCTCCCTTGTCCCGAACAACAGTTGCAACAGGGATTGACCATGCAACAGCAGTACCTCAGCAGCTAAAGCTGATCCGACTGCATACTGTGTGTGTGTGTGTGTGTGTGTGTGTGTGTGTGTGTGTGTGTGTGTGTGTGTGTGTGCGTGTGTGTGTGTGGATGGGTGTGCATGTGTGGGCGTCACGTAAAACATTACAACAACACACTTGTCACAGACAGACAGACAGACAGACAGACAGACAGACAGACAGACAGACAGACAGACAGACAGACAGACACAAGCATGCACACATAGTCATTACACCCACACCCACACACACAAGCATCACTTTTGTACACATAGTCCTTACCTGGATCTTCTGACTAACAAACAGTTCTTCAACAACCTTTCGATCCCGATCCTGTAGACCAGCATGATGGAGACCGATGCCGAAGGCAAGAGTCAGCTTCAAATTGGCATCACTGACACGAGCCAGAATCTGTGATAGCTGCAGAAGAGAACAACATGTACAAAAAACACACATTTCTGTCCACTTGTCTTCACTGTGATCGGTTCAGCTAGTGACTGAACTCCGCTGACTTGTCTTCACTGTGATTGGTTCCTGCATACACACACACACACACACACACACACACACACACGCATAATGCATACACACTTGCACGCACACACGCATGCACCCACACGCACCCACACGCACATGCCCCCACCTCACCCCACACACGCGCACCCACACGCACATGCCCCCACCTCACCCCACACACGCGCACACGTGTGCACACACACACACACACACACACACACACCACACACACACACACACACACACACACACACACACACACACACACACACACACACACACACACACACACACACACACACACACACACACACACACACACACACACACACACACACCACACACACACACACGTTTCTCAGTCCATGTACCCAACACTCACACTCACATAACACTTCACAGGGTAGACTGTAAACTATGCAGAGTCGGAAAGAAACCCGGCAGACTTTGTCTTATACACTTACATCAGCCTCCGATATCTTGAGCCATTGTTTAGGATCATCTTCACCTGAACATAAAGAGATCAAGTCCAGTGCAGTGATACGTGTCTGACGGCGTGATGATACAAATATCAGTACTGGCTGACTGGGTGAGTGTGTCTTGATGGCCTCGAAAGACGGCTTGTTCATGGTAGCCATGCGAGGACAGTAGTGCTTGCCGGCAAAGCCTTGAACGTGAACGTCTAGTGGCACAGGTCGCACGGCTGGTCGAAAGTTGTACAAACCAACCTGGACAAGACAACAGCAGGCACACACACGCACACATCGTGTACGCACGCACATACATATACACCGTAACGTAAGAATGATGATGACTGGTGAAGCACAGAAAATACGTTCTTGCCCGCCAGCTTGCTTTGAACGGAATCAAGTGTGACTGCTGCGATTGCTGATGACTTTTCCCGACTTCTGCACACCTTGGCAAAGTGACCGGACCTTGCTACACTTTGTGCATGTTTTACCGCATGTCAGACACCGCCTAGGAGGATGTGTTCCTCCACAGTATCCGCAGGACTTCACTTTAGGTCCGGGTTGTATTTTCTTCTGTGACCTAACAGCGGCAATGTCTCGTTTGTCTGTCTCTGGACTGACTGGTCCGTAGATCAAGTGCCCAATGTGTCGCTGAGCGGCTTCTCTACATCTGCAGGCAAAAAGCACTTTCTCTAGACTAAGTCCCTTGCGGAGTCCGTCATCCTACACACCCAGAATAATGCAGTCCCGTAAGATGATGTCCTCCGTGGCTGGAAGCGCGCATCTCTCGGCCGTTCTAAGGAGCTCCATGGTATACGAGTCAACGTCTTCATTTTCTTGCTGTTTCCGGGTGAACGGAAAGTATCTCTCCATCGTTGCATTTGCTTTCGGGGCGCAGAACTCCTCGGATTTCTCCTTCAGCTTGTCTATGCTATGGTCCTTGCATCTGCAGAATCTGTAGCATCCGACTTCTGACACCATGTAGCAACTTCTTGAGCCGAGGAATAGCTACTCAATGGGAGTAGCTAGCATGGTATATATAGGGGGAGAGCATAGGTGGTAACTAACACAATTCAAGTGTAGATGATCTAAGTGCGGGAATAAGGTGTGAATGGCAGTGTGAGTGTAAGCGCCAACTCAATGCTGGTGGCATATGTCAAACACACACACACACACGCACATGCACACGCGCGCGCGCGCACACACACACACACACACACACACACACACACACACACACACACACACACACACACACACACAATAATTAGAGGCGATGTACTAGTGCTAGTGCTATTGCTACGGAGCAGTGGGTAGTTACACTCCAGTAGCAACAGCAGTAGCAACAGCAGTAGCAACAGCAGTAGCAACAGCAGTAGCAACAGCAGTAGCAACAACAGCAATAACAACAACAGCAGCAACAACAATAACAGCAGACATACGGAGGTATGGCAGTACCTGTTCAATATTGAGCCAATCTGCCAGATCACGAGCATTGGCCAAAGCTGTGCTGAGGCCAACAATACGAATATTCCGCTCTGTGTGCGAACTAATGAAGTTTGTCCGGGAAACAATCACTTCCAGGACTGGACCGCGATCCCCGCCAAGAAGATGAATTTCGTCAATTACTAGAAGTCCGACCTGTGGACAAAGACAAGAAGATACGTAATACCATAAAGAAAAAATGCGGAGGCAGAGCAATAGTCCACATCACATACAGTACAGTAAAGTCATGTATGAAAGGAAAGCACAACTCTACAGAAGAGAGGGACAGACAGAGAGACAGACAGGGACAGGAGTCCTCCAGCTCGACAGAGAGTGGCCAGTGCTCAGTGTTCACAGGGGTGGAGTTATCTACCACAAGAGTTACAGAGCACAGGCAGTGAGAAAGTGTGTCCGCTGGAACTTGAAGCTCCACGCTCTGGGCGATCATCAGACAGCATTGACTACATGATTGTTCTGAGCAGGCCTAGATATTGGTGGCTAGTGTAAGAGTAAGTGTGGGAATAAGTGTGCATGTGCGAGGGTAATGGTAGATCAAAGCCATTGGGTTAGGTCCAGGAAAATGCCAGAGCAAGCACTGCAGTCGGGGTAGGACACACTCACTCAAGATCTATCCTCTCATTACTGGTGCCAAAAGCCACTGCAGAAGTGTGCTACAATAAATCATGAGTGGCATGGCACTACACTTTGGCGGCTAACTTAGCTCGTGCGCCGAATTACAGAGAACACGAAGAGCTGCATCTGGAGTTTTTTAAAACCAGGCTTCTCTTCCAGAGTAGTTTGAAATTAAAATTCGGAAGCCTGGTTTGAAAAGCATGCATGACCTTAGTAATGGCTTATGTGGCCGTAAGCACAGTTTTCACACACGACTCTACAGAAAAGCCGCCAATCGCAAAGCCTTCAGTGCAACCCCCCCCCACACACACACACATGTGACATGATGAACAGGAGCACAGATGTGTGTACACACATACATATATGCATACACACATACATATATGCATACACACATACATATGCATGCACACACATGTGCACGCACCAGGTGATCTGCCGACACATGCAGCTCTGGTCACTTACATCTTGTACGTAGGAGCGACTCTGCCAGCTTCTACTCACACCGTCCCATTTCTCCGGGGTGGTTACAATGAGATCAGCTCGGCTGATGGCACGCACGTCTGGTGTGAAGTCACCAGTTAACTCCACAACACTGCATGTAAGCCACGCATGCATATGTACACACAGGCACAAACACAACAACAGACACAGACACACACACACACACACACACAGACACACACCACACACACATGCACGCACATGCATGCATGAACGCACGCACGCACACACGCACGTACACACACACACCCCAGATGAGTATATTTTTGTCAACAACAAAACAGAGAAAAAGGTGGTTTTGGTGCAAGAAGGTAGGACCGTAGCCGAACATGATCTAAACGTTATTATTTTCTTCCTTACTTCTTGCCGAGTTTTTGCTGAATACGCACTTTCCAGTCATCGACACGTTCTCGGACAAGAGCTTTCAGCGGCGCAATGTACACTGCCTGCAGTCAACAACAGGAGGGCATTGGAATAACGACAATATATTCAATGTACACTGCCTGCAATCAACAACAGGAGCGTATGGCAATATTGCGACAACGACAACATACAGGGAACAGCTGAGCATACACCAGTACACCAGTACGCACTGCATACAAAGAAATGAAATGCGTGCAGCCTGGCCGAAGGTCACAGCACAACTCCGATAAATTCCCCGGGCAAGTGCAACTACAACTAATGCCGGTGCGTAGACACGTTGGCAGACACACAGGTTATCATGATTAGGACAAGCAGCATAGTACCGTGTAGTGTGTAGTGTGTAGTGTGTAATGTGTAGTACAGCGGTGTGTCGTGTGTAGTGTGTAGAATGTTTGAGTCATACCTTGGCACCAGGATACTCTCTGAACAAGCGGTATATCGCCAGCTCGGCAGCAACCGTCTTTCCAGATCCAGTGGGGGCGCCGAGTAGGACGTTGTGATCGGTGTGGTACACAGTGTGGAAGAACTGCGTCTGGACGGGGTTAAAGTGCGTGAAGTGCGGGTACAGAGACTCCAGGTCGGGGTTGTTGATGGCAGTCTTGGGTAGCGGCTGCAGGTCCAGCAGGTCAGTGTGCGGGGCATGACGCTCGGGGAGAATCAGATGCTGTTGGGAGCAGAGTAGAAATCACAGAGTAGAAATCACAGAGTAGAAATCACAGAGTAGAAATCACATGACACACAAACTAGTAGTCTACACAGTGCAGTAGTGCAGCTGAATAGAAAGAAAGAGCAGTCGGAACAAGAACATTATCCAGTGCATTGAACTTGCGAAGACTGGCAAGCCATCCCCTCATAAGTCACACTCGTGCATTCACATACTCTAAGTATCCGCTCACTCACTCACTCACAAAGTGGGAAGAACTGAACTCAACTCATGCATACGCACAAAAAAGCAGGTACAGAGACTGCCCCCCCCCCCCTCCCCCCCCCTCCGCGCGCGTGCGCACGCGGGTCCACAGACAGAGACACACAGACACACACAAACTGAAATTTATGTAGCAGTTAGCCTAGCCATTGTGTTATAATACTGGTACCTTGAAGGAGAGGGCTATGACCGACTGAGCTCCCAACCAGCGGTCAGAGATGACACGGATGATGTACTGAGGTGGTAAGGGCTCAAATATCGGCGTGGTGAACACCAACTCCTGTGACTCATTGGCTATCACCTGAATAGACACAGACCACACCACACAAACACATAATTATGATCAAGCTCGTGAGTAACGACCTCAGGTAAAACAACAACTCGCGTATCACGACAAAATCTTCAGACCTAGTAGCCATTTGACTGCAGACTTTCAAGTTTCCACCTCATGAATAACGACACTTTTCTCACGAACTTGGTATTGAATACAAGAATGCACTGAACTTGGTATTGAATACAAGAACGCACTTGGTATTGAATACAAGAACGCACTTGGTATTGAATACAAGAATGCACTTGGTATTGAATACAAGAACGCACTTGGTATTGAATACAAGAACGCACTTGGTATTGAATACAAGAATGCACTTGGTATTGAATACAAGAACGCACTTGGTATTGAATACAAGAATGCACTTGGTATTGAATACAAGAACGCACTGGCAAGTGACATCCAATGGAAATATCCATCCCCACAGGAAATTGCGATCTCACGGCCGCGGCAAAATCAGCGAATTTCGGTGTCTTCTGCGAAATAAGATGATTTCGAAGAATCGCTGTGAATTTTGAGGCAAATATTATAAGATTTCAAGAAATCATTTCGAGAAATCGTGTTTTTCAGCGTAGACTCGTGTGGAAATATATTGTGCATGCAGCTTGGTTCACACTCACTGTAAGGTTTACTCCGTCTTTCCTACCACTTGCTGTTCGAAGGTGCTGCTGAAAAACTTTGCATGTACCTGACAACAAGTGGTCAGCCGGTGGCTGAGTTCTTTAAGCAAGTCAGGATCTTTCATCCTACTAATGGCATCAAGATGCCACACGACTTGAAAAAACTACACCGCAGTGCCCGAGCAGGAGTCTGCAGTAGCTGCAGAGTTCCGGCAGTACACATCTGCTGCAGCACCTACAGCTCTAGGTGTGGCAACCGTGATAGAATAGTCCCCGGACTCCGTTCAGTTCTGGATGTTAGAGAAAGCTAACATGCCTGCTCTTGCCAAACTGGCTTTGCGCTACTGCTTTGCTGTGACCAGCTCCGCCGATCTCTACAAGCAGGTCTTCTCGGCCAGACGTCGCTCACTGGCACACTCAACCCTCAGACAGCTGGTGTTCCTCTACCTCAATACAGCAGGGCTAGAGTACAGCACGTTCTGAAGCATGCAGCAGCTGAATGTTGAAACTCTGCCTGCTGTCATGTTCCACACCGAACAATGCTTTGTTAGCTGCTTGCTTATTTAGTGTTCCTATCGGTACTTTGATCCACTATGCTGATCCTTCCGCTGTCACTTGAGAGACATGTGTTCCGTACAACTGCTTCTAATATATATTTGTACAGAACTGTCACATGTTACAGGTGCAGTATTGTCAGAAGGACATGCTAGGTCGCTTGTAATCTTGGTGCGGTGTGCAATACTGCTATTAAAGCATTTCACGAGTGTGATATTTATTGTTGCCGTGCACCATTACCACGCTTCAGTGCAGCAACCAGTAGCAGCTCAAGCCTCGTACCTAGTGCGGCAGCAACCAATGCTCAATCAGCTACCCGTTACCGTTGCCGGTGCACTGAGCATGCCTCAGCCACAGTCGCCACCACAACGTGACATCTTGATGGCCACAAGCAAATCAATAAACCAATACAATCTACCGCAAGTTCAGTCATATCCTACAGCAAATTCAGCTCCTCACTGCATATTTTGTTGCAACTTCAGCCCAATATGCACCACAAGATTTGGACAACTTTCAAAGAATTTTTCCGCGGTTTTCCGTGGGGGACAGAAATACACGGTGGATGTGAGTAGTAATGTACGGTGTGCAGTGTGAACTGAAATACTGTAGAACGGCTAATTATAGCGGGCCGATGTTTTCAGCATTTTCCGGATCAGGACCATTTTTCGAGATGAAACATTTTAGCGATCCAAGTTTCCCACATACCTTGGCTAGCATTTTTTATGGAGTATGCTCTTCCACATTTTACCATGGTCTACATAATCTTTCCTACTCAGTTACCTACAGCATCATGCATGGGATGTTGTGGTACTGACCTGTGCGTTCTGCCCGCATCAATACCACAGTTATTTACTGCGAGTGGCGCGGGGTTCTACACACCTCACTGGAGGTGTGAGACTGGAACTGTGCTTGTATCACTGCTGTAGCGCAATATCTACTTTCCTCGCCGTCTGTGCCTGTGTTGTCATGTACATGTAGCAATGCACCCGCCACGACGTGCTTTGCACTTCTCTACGCGTGCTGTCACTAGGTACCGCGCTTTGCTTCCTTCTTTTATACTGCTGTTTTTTCCATGTCCACTTCATTCCTGATGATGAAGACTGAAACGTTGAAACTATACCTCTAATGGATTTGTGTGTAATGCAGTGCTCGCTAAAATCGCTAAAATAACTTACTTTTGCTTGGGAGATCGTGATGGCAAGATAAAAGGAGGCACCAAAGAAAAAATGATCGCGACTAGCGAATCGCGATGTGTTTGACTTTTTTGGGAAGTGGGAATCTGGCCATTCACTGTCTGTGTTGCCAAAAGCCAAGCGCAGCGACCCGAAGACCGGAACTGTAGCAGGGGCAACTGACATCCTGGCCTGGAGAGCGTGACAGGCACGCGTGCACGGAAGGGGAGTATGAGCGTCATGCTGAAGAAGAAAGGTGTTTTTGATGCGATGCCCACGGCCGACGTGTTGGTTGTTCCTTCTCTTGGTGGACCTAGCAGCCGCATTACAAGAGTCGTGGCCAGCGTATCCAGAGAGGCCTGTATGCCTCATTCGAAGGCTTTGTTGAAACACACTGTGGTGACACACAGGTCACACTGCCCACGGTTCCTTCAAGCACCGAAGTGACAGCCACAACTGTTTCTTTCCCATTGCTGCCATACGATAGGCTGAGAACGCAAGAGATACTCTACCAGTCTACGCCAGCTAGCAGCTAGCTAGACACCAGCAAATGTCAGCTCATGTAACGGCGCGGCTCGAGTCGAGAGATGCAGAGTTGAATGAACTCTGGACATGCATTACTAGTGTGAGTGCAAGAACGCGCTTCTTCGCTGATTTATTTCGTGCATTTTGCTTACCTTGCTTCCTTTCTTCGACTCGCTTCACCTGATTCCATTGCTGAAATTTTTTTTCTTGTGGCGGAGAGTATTCATGTATCATGCTTCCTCACTATGCCTGTTGGAAATTTCACAGAGCGGTAAAAAAACTCCTGTTCTCAGTGGCGATAGATAAGCGACAATTGTGATGAGCCGGACCAAGTAGGAGGGGCAGCGAAGGTAACGTGTGAATAACGTTAGTAGGAGGGACTCACGTGTTTCTTGTGTAGGATGAAGTATTCACTGTAGTACATGTGGTCATTCTCGCTGTCCTCCACCCATACCCACCAGGGCTCGGATGAACCATGGAAGCGGTCATTCCACTCAAAGTCAGCAGACAACACAAGGCGAACGCGCAGTACAGTGCGAGTGATTGGCTGACACGTTGCCTCCACATTCATCATGGGGAAACTGTCGGCAAAAGACTTGACCTTGGGACCGATGGCTGGATGATACAGCATTTGACCTGCAAAGCAACAGCGCAGGAGACGGAGACAGAGGCAAAGGCAGAAAACAAGCCATGTATAAGCGAGAAAAGTGAATATTGGTAGGGCAAGGTGAACGACTCTGTTGAGCCTGTACTAGATTCGTACTGCAGTTGTATGGCCTCGCACCGTATCAACATACTAGCTTGGCTCGGGAGAGATTTCCGTGCTGCATGTGGTTGCCTCAGTAGTTGTTTTCTTTCACTATAGATTTGTTTTATCATTAGTCTTCTTAGGAATGGGTTTGCTCCCACACTGGAGCTCGCGCTATTCCGCCGACGACTTGACACTTGACTGACTCACGACTGCCATCCAGAGAACACGAGAAGTCCATCGAACCTTCGACTCGGCAAACCTGCAAGAAAGCACCACTCCCTGCTCAATACACAGTGTTTCGGGGAATTCACCCCTCATCAGTTGAGCTTGAGTAGGCTGAGGAAGATTGTGCCTGAAGAGCACCACTTATATAGTGCTGTCCAGGCAAAAACATCACCAGGGATACAAACTTACAGAGACACTCCATTTCCAGCGCGACAAACACCTCGTGAACACCAGATAGCAGCGTGAGTCAGTTATCGCTCCTGGACGGTGAGAACAGACGTAGAGGACCCTCGGTCATTCACAACGCTGTCACCTCCAAACCAGCTAGTCGCACGCCCGCGCTGGGCACAACAGTACGAAATAGAGGTTGCGACTTCGGCGATAATTTTGTTTAGGAATGGGTAGGGCAAATGGGAGCAAACCCATTCCTAAACAAAATCATCGCCGAAGTCGCAACCTCTATTTCGTACTGTTGTGCCCAGCGCGGGCGTGTGACTAGCTGGTTTGGAGGTGACAGCGTTGTGAATGACCGAGGGTCCTCTACGTCTGTTCTCACCGTCCAGGAGCGATAACTGACTCACGCTACTATCTGGTGTTCACGAGGTGTTTGTCGCGCTGGAAACGGAGTGTCTCTGTAAGTTTGTATCCCTGGTGATGTTTTTGCCTGGACAGCACTATATAAGTGGTGCTCTTCAGGCACAATCTTCCTCAGCCTACTCAAGCTCAACTGATGAGGGGTGAATTCCCCGAAACACTGTGTATTGAGCAGGGAGTGGTGCTTTCTTGCAGATTTGCCGAGTCGAAGGTTCGATGGACTTCTCGTGTTCTCTGGATGGCAGTCGTGAGTCAGTCAAGTGTCAAGTCGTCGGCGGAATAGCGCGAGCTCCAGTGTGGGAGCAAACCCATTCCTAAACAAAATCATCGCCGAAGTCCCAACCTCTATTTCGTACTATTAGTCTTCTTGGCAACGAGAGAGCTTGGAAGCTCAGGGCCCTACGCTATGCTTTTTGCCTTGATGACCTAGACAAAAAAAGCATAGGTATGTTATAAATTCTTATAAATTTCTCCTTTTAAAAAAAAAGACACAATTAACCTGGGATTCGAACCCGCACTATCGCCCCTGCATGCATCCCCCGATACACTTCACATACATACTATTTCTTCCAAGTTCAGGGCTCACCACGACCATACAAAATTCAAAAAGCGTCGACCACCATTTTGAAAACATGGCGATGCCGCCAAGGCCAGAGTTTGTGCAGTCATAGCGGCTACGCACCCGAGTTCATGCTCATCGATGTACAGCGATGTACAGTCTAGTCGTAAAATACCGGTATTTTACGACTCCCTGGTCTACTCTGTACAGCGAAGGGCCAGTACCGAAGCGAATAGTGTTGTTTGATGTCGGGAAAGACACGCGGAGAAGACGTCCTTTCTCCAAGCCATCTTGGTCATTTTTCTCAATCCACTGGTGGGTGTCGACCAAGATATGTCCGTGAGGTACTGGTGAACTAGAGTCCTTGCATCTACAAGAATTCGCCGCGCCTAGCTAACCAATGTTGTCAGTAGAACTCAGCGTTTCCTGATCGCGACTCGGCACACTCTTTTCTGTTTGGCCTCGCATCTTTCACGCTGCGAGTGGGGAGTTTCCTGGCCACAAATGAATCCCTTAGTCATGACCATGATGAGAGGTGACTGGTATGATCCCTGACTGGCATGAGTCCTTAGCTTGAGTCAACACGAAGGTAAACTCTTCACTTGGAACGCTTGCTGTCTCCTCCGTCCTTTCTTGTTGCACTTGCAGATATGCACACGGCTGCCAGTTTTTGTTGGTGCGCGCGGCGGCGCACGGCCGACCTTGATGTCTTCAAAAAAGTAGAACAGCGGTTCTCCTTGGCCGATTCTCATCATCAATAGCTCATTTTCAAGGTCTTGGAATTCTCTATCAGTTTACCGCCCCGATTTCTAATTTTCTCTTCATTCAGTTGTTCGCACGCCTTCGCGTTTGAGTGATTTCACCATCCGATCTCAGCCAAACGAAGGCCAAATCGAAAAATTCGAGACGGTAACCCTCCAAAGACACACCTTCTGAACACGAATCCACAATGGCCTAATGTCTAAAACCAACGAATACAGCCAAGCTCCACTCAGAAAACACCCCACAATTGCAAGAAACAGCCCGTTTTGCCGTGCGCTGATTGGTCAAATCCAAATGACCGTTATTGACGCTTTGTACGGTCGTGGTGAGCCCTGAAGTTGCTTCACGTTATGATCTTGCGTTTGAAAGCCCTATTTGAATATGCATTGTGGCCAGCCGTCTTTGATGGTACGGTACGGGACAGGTACAGGACAGGTACGGTCAAGGGTAATACGACACCGTCTACCGCCTTGATGACCTAGGCAAAAAAAGCATAGGGATGTTATAAATTTTTCTATTCCCCCATTTTTTTTTAAGGCATAACCTGGGATTCGAACCCGCACTATCGCCCTACATGCATTCCCCCATACACTCCGCATTCATACTCATTCTTCCAAGTTGCTTCACGTTACGATCTTGCGTTTGGAAGCCCTGTTTGAATATTGCGGCCAGCTGTATGTGGCCAGCTTTGTTTGTTGGTACGGTACGGTACGAGACAGATACGGGATAGCGCCAGGCGTGACACGAACAAACAAAAAAACAAACACCAAATTAAAGCTGTGTGGACCCTGGCTAGCGCCAGACGTTACTGAAGTAACGTCTTCTGCATAGCTACGGGAACGAGAGAGCTTGGAAGCTCAGGGCCCTACGCTATGCTTTTTTGCCTTGATGACCTAGACAAAAAAAAAGCATAGGGATGTTATAAATTCTTTAAAAAATTCCTTTTTTTTAAGACACAACCTGGGATTCGAACCCGCACTATCGCGCGTCCTGCATGCATCCCCCGATACACTTCGCATACATACTAATTCTTCCAAGTTGTTTCACATTGTGATCTTGCATTTGAAAGCCCTATTTGAATATGCATTGTGGCCAGCCGTCTTTGATGGCACGGTACGGTAGGGGATAGGTACGGGACAGGTACGATCGAGGGTAATACGACACCGTCTCCCGTACCGTACCATCAAACACAGCTGGCCACATACAGCTGCCCGCAATATTCAAATAGGGCTTTCAAACGCAAGATAATAACGTAAAGCAACTTGGAAGAATGGGTATGAATGCGAAGTGTATGGGGGAATGCATGTAGGGCGATAGTGCGGGTTCGAATCCCAGGATATGCCTGAAAAAAAAGGAGAATTGAAAAATTTATAACATCCTATGCTTTTTTGCCGTCAGATATGGATAGCGCCAGGCGTGACACAAACAAACACACAAACAAACACCAAATTAAAGCTGTGTGGACCCTGGCTAGCGCCAGACGTTACTGAAGTAACGTCTTCTGCATAGCTACGGGAATAAAGATTATTATATCATGGCGCAGTGAACTGCTCGTTCCTTGTAGAGTAACATACCTTTTTAGTTGCTGCTTTTTTCTGCTTTGAAGAAAAAAGGGGGGGGGGGGTGTTGTCAACTGACAACCGCTCTATTCAGTTGCTATTCACAATCTGCGCATGCGCTGCATTAACTTTTTTTCTGCTTTGTGTTTGCAACACGGGCCGGAAATTTTGTAGTTTGCTTGGATAGTTGCGTAGTCAGCTCAAGGTAACGATGCCCGATTCCGACCCGTGTGACCTGAACTAGAAGTCCAGCACTGGTCTTTCCGCAGACATCGTTTCCCTCACACTGATGTTGGCCGTCCAGATGATGTCCTTGGAGGAGTGGGAGCACCACATGACGACAATAGGGAGGTCTCGCTCTACATAATAGAGAGGTTCCGCATAACGTAATTACGTTAGTAAAAAACGTAGTCGATCTACGGAAAGTCTTACGTAAACTGCATGCGCATCTGTGTTCCGCCATACGGAGTTTTCAAATCACGTAGCTGCCCTTGGCAACTCCGAACGCGGCAGTGTACGACCAGATCGACCTGGGGAGAGAGTCATAAATTTGTACCCCAATCCACTTACGGACCAGCTACGTTATCAGAGCCCTATCTACGTACTCTCCGTAGACAACTTTCCGTAAGTGGAGTGCAAACTCGCGAATTCACGGGTTTTCCCCGCCCACTAACGTAAAGTTGCTCAACTTTACGTAGTGCGGAACCTCTCTAATAACGAATGAAAATAAGCTAAATATTGTAGGAACTATGATAAAAAAAGGAGAAGGACAAAATGTTACGAGTTATGACTAACAGTCTACCAACGTAACCAGATCATCTATGCGAGTCAGCGAGTGCGACAAAATGGCTTGTTACGTTGGTGGACAGTTAGTCATAAATCAACTTTCGAATTGTCACCTTTTTGCTATTGGAAATCAAAGCATATGCCCTGAGGTGTCCGTATTCCAAAATTGAAGTGATTCGGACCAACTGTTGTCATAAGACCGTTTGAAATATTAATTTGAAAAAATTGAAAAATTCGTACTCATCGATGTTCGTACCCTAAGGGGCCGGTCACATTGAGGGAACAATCCTCAGATTATAAACCGGGAATAATTTGTTCTGCTTTTCATCACGGCCACACTGCATACGCACAATGAAAAAAAATCTCACTCGCGCGAGCAATTTTTTGTCAGCACTCGCTTCTGGCAGTCTGTCAGCCCCGCTCCTGGGCCAGAGCTGCATCAGCACAGCCTCTAGAGTATTGCTCCACTTCAGAATGCAATAAAAAACAAGGAAACTCAAAGAAATCCAGTGGAAGCCGCGGATGATTATAATCTTCGGCGGAAAAGCGGGGCCTCGAGCTGATTTTCATCGAGTGGATTAAATCTCTCAAATCTCCCGCTCAGCGGCAACTATCCATGGTAACCACGGATTATTTTCAAATTTTCCCTCAATGTGACCGGCCCCTAAAACGAGTAAGCTGTCAAGATTGTGGAGTTTAGGAGTTTCGAATCGCTTTTACTTAAAAAAATTTGACCCGCACCAGAACATTGTTCTTTCCCAAAGGACTTCTTTGCTGTTTCGAGCGATGGGAAACGAGAAGAGCAGGTCGTGCAGAAGATTCTCAGGAAATAGGTTTGCTAGGAGGACTGCACCTGTCCAGGAAGCTGCTAAGGGAGTTTATGAAGCTGAAGCAGTGCCAGAGTCCGCCTCGAAGTGTAAGTTGTACGATGGCGTTCCAAAATGGATTCAACTGAGCGACAGTGAGTCGGATTCGGAGGAGAGCTTTGATAGATGTGCCCTGACCTCGAACTCTGACAGTGGCTCCTCAAGTGATTCCTCGTGCTCTGAGGACTTTCATGGCCCAATCGCTGAAGGTTGTGGTTCAGATGCCACTGGAAATCACGTAGTGAACTTGAATTGCTTACGAAATTTGATTTTCTCTGTTTGCTCGTGTAAATACTGTGGAGGTGAGCTGATCATTACTGAAACTGCACGTTCTGGCCGTGCATCCACTGTCAGCATCACATGCTGCAATGAAGAGTGTTCAGCAGTCACCAGCTTGCCAGTGGTGGAGAAGTCAGGACGGTTTTATGAGTGCAATCGCCGCAGTGCTCTGGCATCGCGCACTCTGGGATTTGGCCATGTTGGCTTGCAAAATGTTGCGGCCTCATGAATTTGCCCCCACCTGTTCAGCTATCTACATTCCAGCGGCACCAGCGAGCATTGTTCAAGGCGGCAAAGTCAGTTGCGCAAATCAGCATGAACGAAGCAGCAGATGAAGTGCGTAAGCTGAACAAGACAATGGACAGGCCCGAGCATATAACTGCTGTCACGTACGATGGGACGTAGATGACGCATGGGGTTTCCTCCCTGCACGGTGCGTTTACGGCAATTGACTGGCAAGTCGGGAAGGTCCTTGACGTGCATGTAGCTTCCAAGTACTGCCGTGGCTGCAGCTTGTGGAAAGCTCGCCGGGAGCGGAGTGAAGTCACAGCCGACGAGTATGAGAAGTGGACGTCGGGCCATATCCCTCTCTGCAACCGCAACACCGAATGATCGCCACCCGGTGTGGAGACTGAAGGCGCTACCATCATCTGGGGCAGGTCAGTACAGGAGCACAAGCTAGAGTACCGCACATATATTGGAGATGGTGACTCCAAGGGTGTTGCTGCCGTGCAACAAGCTAAACCATATGGGCCTGAGATTGATATCGCTAAGAGAGAGTGCGTTGGCCATGTGCAGAAGCGCCTGGGTACAGCCTTGCGCAGTCTGAAGAAAGAATGGTCAGGCAAGAAGTTACCGGATGGCCACGGTATAGGCGGAGCAGGATGCCTTACTGATGACCTCATCGACAGGCTCCAATTCTACTACGGGTATGCCATTCGCTCGAACATCAATGATGTGCAGGGTATGGCGCGCACCATCTGGGCTGGCCCATCCCATCGTCACTCAACGGATCAAACGCCTCGCCATCAGCATTGCCCACCTGGTCCAGAATCTCGGTGCGGCTACCAGCTTGTAAAAGCTTGTGTCAAGCAGTCCTACAGCCACCATGACGTGATGCCAGCAGCAATATTTGATGTGATCAAACCTGTGTATGTCCGCCTGTCTCAGCGAGAGCTCCTTGACCGTTGCTTGCACGGCGCAACTCAAAACCAAAACGAGGGCTTCACTGAACAGCCTCATTTGGCAAATGTGCCCCAAGTCCTCCTTCTGTGGCGTTGCTGCAGTAGAACTCAGTGCCTACCTAGCCGTCCTCCACTTTAACAACAGCTCTGTCGTTTTGCTGCGAGTTCTGCAAGAGCCGGGCTGTCAGCCTGGCTTTTTTGCAGAACACCAGCTCATGTTGGAGGATAGTATTAGAGTGGCAAAGGCTGAGAAGAAGATGAAGCAGGAAGAAAACAGCGAAGGGAACAAAGGAGGAGGCGCAGGAAGGGAATTGAGGAGCAGATCGTGGAAGCTGAGGGTGTCACATACGAGGCTGGTGGATTTTAGTTGGAACAATAGTATTAGAATCAATGAAAAAGACACCTAAATGTTTGTGCTTTTTGGCCTTTTTCTGCCTTCTTGGACATGATTGCGGCTAGTGTGTTTATTTTAGACCTATCAACCCATACATTTTTGGAATCAGTGACTTGTTGCGCAGGGATTTAACTACAATGGTGATCATAGGACTTTTTATATTGGATTTTGAGCTCCAACAGTGCCTTCTACTTTACGCGTTTCGCGGCTCATCCTGTTTTGTCTCTGCATTTGGTGTAGTAATACCTGTCAGATAGAGCTCATTGTAGTTCATTCCCTGCATAGGCATATGGACTGGGTTTAGCTGCATTTCGGAACTGTCTGTGACGATACATCTTGCTGCAAAGTTGTCCAAAAAAATTGCTGTTTGTGCGCACCCGTAAAGAATTTGGGTAGCCCATCAATCATTACTGGGATGAACTGTAAATTCTCTCTTTGGTGCCTACATTGTGTAGCAGTATATATTATAGTGATTGAACATGTTGTTATGCAGAGCTCACTGACTTGTCAGTTTGAGCACTCTGGCAAGGCACGTTCGGGCCTGGTATAAATTTGGCTTTGGAAAATTTATTTTCATTGCTATCAGGTTCGGCCTCATTTTCTCTGTGCTGCGCTGAGGAGTCCACAAAGGACGAAACAGTTCAGTCCGCAGATTGAGTAGTGATTGAACATGGAACATTTCTTTCAAGGCAACCTGCCGATCCGTTTTCATGATATGCCTATTCAAAAAATCCGTGCTATTGGGTTTCTTTCAGACATGATGGGGATAGATAGCTGGCACTAGGTGACAACTAATACTAACCGATTTCACTTGCGGTCATATCACGGAGTCGAGCCACTGTCATCTTGCGTTTCTCCAGCTTGTCCACGATGTCCGGGCGCAGGTGTGTGAACTGGTACAGTGGGTTCTGGAATGACCAGAGGCGATGGTCTATCGACTTGCACAGGTCCAGCAGGCGTGCCGCAGTGGCAGGCCAGCCACGGCGCAGTGAGATCTCAAACAATGCTCTCATGATACGACCAGCATTCTGCATACATACACACACATACATGCATGCACGTACCCACACAATTACGCACACACGTACACACATACACACAAACACACACACACACACACACACACACATACACACACAAACCGTCATGCAGACAAAAAGGGAACAAACACAGGGTGCTTGGAGATATTCTCTACTTTCAACGGAGAACAAACTCCAGTTCATCCACAGTCCACAATGCTGCGGGTAGAGATGGGGATTGTCTGCTTAAGCATGGCAACATCCCGTTAGAGTGTTGATAAAATGAAGCAACTTGTTGAGCACTAATGTTAAATGTAGTTACATGCAGTAGCAACACAGTAGAAGCATAGTACACACCTAGGCACAGAGCAACTTCTTGCGTAGGGATGTCAATTGAATTATTATCCTATCCAAGATGGAAATTAACCGTATTGCGTGACCGATCGTTTCAATGCTCTTATCTTTCCTTTTCCTTTCCCAGCTGGACTCCTCCTTGGTTTCCCTTTTCTCTCTAGCTCTTCTCTTGTACCTTCTTGCTATTATTCACTTAATTAATGTGGGGCTTTGAACAAAACATGCACAAAATGCACAGAGCAACCCTTAGATGTACCTGTGCCACAGAGCAACCCTTAGACGTACCTGTGCCACATAGCTAGTGTCCGACACCAGAGAGAAACTTTCCACAGAGGCCCGTGAGATGAAGGATTGTAGGAGGATGTTGACCTTGCCGTACGCATTCTCCACACCACCGCGTACCGGCAATTCACAGTGCTGAGTCATATGACCTTCTAGTTCAACTAACTCATCATCGCGCACCTAGGATGAATGCATGCACGCATGCAAACAGGTGCACATACATGCATACATGCAAACATGTGCACATAGACACAGACAAACACACGCATGCACACACACATGCATACATGCCCCCCACAAAAACGTGCAGGCACACACACACACACATACACACGCGTGCGCGCATGCATCCACAGAAACACACACATACACACACACACACACACACAAGCACACCACACCACACTATTGGTTATGTTAAGTGAATGCCTGAAGCTACAGTCGTGGCCAAAGAAATCCAACCCAGGTGCCAAAAGCAGCACCAAGACTCATGCGGCCCCCGTGGCCCTCAGATCGGTTTTTCAAAAGAAAGAAAAATGAAATGGAAACGTGGTGTACATAACAAAACTGCAAACAATTGATATGCTTACACAATTACACCTTACTACGAAAACATGTCAAAAGCATAGACGAGTGAAACTGCAGACATCATATGAGCCCTCGATGCAGGGGGGATTGACTGGAGTTGGAACTAACATGGCTGTCCGGTATGGTCATGTGGCAATAGCTCTATAGGCAGTATAGCATACAATATTCAAATCTAGTACCTTGATTTGTGAGAACTCGTTGGACTGGGACAGCATACCCAATATCATATCCTCCGACATCTGCGACTTGAAGAGGTCGTTGAAGGTCTGCACGCAAAATCACAAACACAGGCGAGCATTGGCAACCATGCAGACACGCACACACCAACCCACACACCAACCCACACACCAACCCACACACCAACCCACACACCAACCCACACACCAACCCACACACCAACCCACACACCAACCCACACACCAACCCACACACCAACCCACACACCAACCCACACACCAACCCACACACCAACCAACACACCAACCCACACACCAACCCACACACCAACCAACACACCAACCCACACACCAACCCACACACCAACCAACACACCAACCCACACACCAACCCACACACCAACCCACACACCAACCCACACACCAACCCACACACCAACCCACACACCAACCCACACACCAACCATTATCCCTAGGGGTGAAAGTTGGCAATGAGATCCCGAGTTCGAGTACTCTGATTTTCTCCGATCGAATATTCGAGTATTCGAGTATTCTTAATCTCCTAAAAAGTGCACACTAAGGGCCTTAAAATCACATGATACGACCCTGATTGAACCGAGTAGCAGTCATTTTTCTCGGGCATATTGGTTGGTGGGTAATTTTGGCTCTCTCTGCTCGTGGTCAAACGTTCACCACACAGTCTGCACATCAATATCTGCCTACTGCTGCCCTAAAACTGTAGATTTCTATGGTAAATGCATGTACCATGTATGAACGAGTACTCTGATTTATTCCGAGTACGATTATTTTTGAAAAAACCGAGCGAGTACTCGAGTATTCGGTATAATTGTTTCACCCCTAATTATCCCACATGTACCCAAACCAGAGGTGGTTTCCCCGACTTCTTCGGCAAGTATTCATTTCTCCGGTGACATTTGTGTTATAGTTGGACATTTCAATAATTCTCGAGCATGCTTCAAATATTTACAATAGAAATATTTAATATTATTTTTACCCAAATACATAAAATCACTTACCTGACTACTCCAGGTCTAGATCACTCCGAGACGCCTTTCTTGTTTCTCAAACTGAGTGTGACGTATGCGCTCTGGTTACATCACTAGAATAAATTTGTGTTCACTGCTCTAAAACTGCACGCCGCACTTTAGCGTACATCTAGAAATCTAAAGTCGACATGCGCTTTACGCTAACTCTACATCCTGCTGCACCAAAAGCTTGGGGCGCATACAAGCTGAGCTTTCTTTCAGTTCAGACATACCGCTTGAGTGTAAGGACTCTCCAGTCTTCTACTATACTATACTATGGTAAAGTAATGGATACACCTATTACTAGTACCCGTTGTGTTTGTGAGTGCCTTGGTTCCTCTCGTATGCAGAACGTTGATTTACAGCATTGGTGTCTCGGAGTGACCTAGACCTGGAGTAGTCAGGTAAGTGATTTTATGCATTTGAGTAAAACATTTCTATCGTAAATATTTGAAGCACGCTCGAGACTTATTGAAAGTAGACTCAGATGGAGAGCCAACGATTAATTTATAGGAAGAAAAAGGACCAAGGAACTACAAATTACGCTAGAATGTCCACTAACACCACCAGTTACTTCGTGCAATGCAATGTTATCGCATGAGCTGATTGTCAAGTAACTGGTGGTGTTAGTGGACATTCTAGCGTAACTTGTAGTTCCTTGGTCCTTTTTCTTCCTATAAATTATTGAAATGTTCGTTGTTGTATAGTCTGTATCGGTGATCATGGACCTGTTGGCTGAATATGATCATGGACCTGTTGGCTGAATATGATAGTAGTAGCGACAGCAGTACCGAGGAGTGCGAGCCGCCATCAAAGCGGAAAAGGAATGTGGACTCTGTGATCAAGAGAATGCAGCCTCAGATGGACAACTTGCTGCAGAGAATGCAGGCTCAGATAGACAACTTGCAAGCTCAGATGTCACAACAACATCAACAGATAGACAACTTGCAGGGTGAATTTGTCTCAGTAAAGAATGTCTTGTGCAGCGTGTACCAGAGGGCAATTCTAGAGAAGTTCCTGACCGACCTGGGCACAGCGTTGCTCAACTCAAACAATTTAAAGGAGAAAGACAGAGAGACTACTCGAGGAGGAAACATGTCTGGCATAAACAAAATCGTGTTACAACACTGGCAACGAAGTTTCCGAACCAGTAATTATGTCCAAGGACTCCATCGAGCTGTTTGTTATCAGTGGTCACGCCAGTGAGGTCCAGCAACGCTGGAAGACATGGCGGCGTGCGTTCCAATATTTCATTGACGCCAAGGCCATTGCAGATCCAACATGCCAACGCAGCATGTTGTTGCACAAGGCTGGCCTGCAGAAACAAGAGATTTTTGAAGATCTCACCGATCCTACATGTATTGCGCATGCAGATAGGCCACATGATGATGATGCATTCAAGCAAGTGGTAAGAATGCTCGATAGGCATCTTGAGTATACGACTTTCGAGCGGCACATCTTCAGGCAAATGACACCCAACATAGGAGAGAATGCCACGCAATCCTGCACCAAGCTCCGCGCCCAGCCAAACCTTTGTGCATTTGCTGGAGATGATGAACATATTCGAGACCAAATGATTGCCACATGTGTTGACGTCGAACTGCAACGTTCTCTTTTGTCTAAGAGTAATCTTACACTACAGGTGCTGCTGGAGAAGTTTCGAGTTCGAGAATCATCAGGCCTCCAAGTACGATCTATGGCCACGACAACAGCGTCAACCGTCAGCGCCAGCCCTGGCAGTGTCGACGCCATAACTTCTACTACGACATTGACAACGCGAGCACCTTGTAAATGGTGCAACGGCGTGGGTCACGCGGCGTCTGCTGACGATTGCCCAGCACGCCGCCGCTGATGCAACGCATGCAGTAAGGTTGGCCACTATGCTGTCTGTTGTAGGGCGCAAGCTAGTACAAGTAGACCTTCAAATGCCCAGTCTAGGGATCACCTTGGCACATCTTGCATGAAGGCAGTAGCTAGACCATTCTTCTGGTGGCCTCACTTAGACCAAGATATAGTGGAACTTGCTGTAAACTGTCATCTGTGCCAACAGCAGGCTCGAGCACCAACGAAGGCACCTATTCACCACTGAGTTTACCCGAACCGACCGTTTGAGAGGGTTCATCTCGATTTCGCAGAGTACAAAGGTCAGCATTATTTGTTACTGATTGATGCCCATTCCAAGTGGGCCGATGTATTTGTCATGAGCCAATCCACTACTGCCGAGAGAATATTGTCATCAGTAACGGTTTATCAGCTATTGTGGTATTCCGGTTCTGTTAGTGTCGGACAATGGTCACAGTTCATGTCCATGGAATTTGCAGCATTTTGTGAGAAAAATGGTATTCGTCACAAAAGAACTCATCCGTGCCATCCCGTTAGCAATGGACAAGTTGAGCATCCAGTCCAAGAACCTAAGAAACATCTCGCGAAAGCAAATGATTCTCCTCAAGATGCTGTTTCCCAATTCTTGTTTTCATATAGAAACACACCTCATTCTGTCTCTCACTCGTCACCAGCTAGCGTAATTATGAAATTCTTCCCAGTCACACGTTTCTCTTTTCTCTATCCTAGCTTTGCAACTCACATGCAGGCCAAGCAAGACTCAGCGTGATACGCTAATCTGCATCCTGCTGCACCAGAAGCTTGGGGTACATACAAGCTGAGCTTTCTTTCATTTCAGACATACCACTCGAGTCTAAGGACTTTACCATAGTATAGTAGAAGACTGGAGTCTTCTACTATACTATGGTAAAGTAATGGATACACCTATTACACGTTGTGTTTTGTGAATGCCTTGGTTCCTCTCGTATGCAGAACGGAACGTGATTTACTACACGTTGCATGCACTTCAAGAAAACCGCGCACCTTTTGGAGCTTTACAAGTCAACTTGGTACAGAACAGTACAGGCTAATCTCCTGTTATCTTCAGCACAGCTCACCCAGTACAGGAGATGCAGAACCCACACATGAGAGCACAAGCAGGAGTACAGTTGAACTCCCCATATATGCAAGCCTTGCCTGATAGGTTTAGTATGTTTTCACGTTGACAGAGTGAACAAGACATAGCCCATACGGTTCAAATGGTCGCAAGACCGACACCCTACCAACCGGTTTATGGTTGCACACAGGAACACTGTTTCTGATACAGTGGGTCATCCGCCTTGTTCACGCTGTCATTGTGAAAACAGTTTAACTCCCCGTAATCTGGACAGGCTGGGACCGCCGAGCACTGCCCGTAATTAGAAATTGCCCGTAGCTCAGAACACACATACTGCATGTAGGGATATCAGCGAACGCACTGCGCAGCCCATCTGCGCAGGTCAGCCTGGCCCATCTACGCGCGGCCGACAAGAAAACTCATGAACACTTTCATTTTTTTGCAAAATAAATCGTGTGAAGAAGATGCACGGAATGGCTGAAAACTAGGCTGAGGAATAGTAGCATCCAGAGACTCTCAAACAAATTCATGGTCCATCGCTTCTGACAATGGCAGGGAAGACATCAGGGAGCTGATTGCAGCAACTCTCTACCAAGCGCGATGCTGGTTACTCACCAGGGCAGGGCGCTTCCATCGCGCAAGAAATGGCCGCGAGCGAGAAATGCAAGTCCGATTTTGGAACGATCCAACCAGGGAAATCTCTTGAAATTTGGCCTGAGCACCTCTCATACTGGTGTTTCACGATGTGCAAACTTTCAGAGAAATCGACCGGGAAGAACGTGGTGAGTACGTGGGTCCTTCGTCTCGCGTATGATTTGAATGGTCGCGGGGACAGAAGAACAGTAATTTTACGACTCCCAGCGGTGCAAACAGACCGCGGCCATGTTTTCTCTGTCGGCCGCGATCACGTTCAAAAAATCGATGACGCAATGCATGCGCAGAGGCCTGCGCAGTGCGTTCACTGACATCCCTACTGCATGCAGTAAACATTTTTTACGCCAAAAAAATAATTTTGGGGCCATTATTCATTGAAAAGCCAACTTGTGTTTACTCTATATGGGTGAGAAAGGTGCCCATGAGGCGGAAGTGCCTGGATCAGGAGCGTCCGTCCGGATAGGGGGAGTTTTACTATACATGTATCAGTAACATAACACATACCTCTACAGTGCTGTGTAACATAACACATACCTCTACAGTGCTGTGTAACATAACACATACCTCTACAGTGCTGTGGCCGATGTAGAAATGACTAGAGATTCTACCAAGGTCGGTAGAGTTCAGGTACTCTGTGCGCTCATTGTAACGAATCATTCTGGCCTTGTCCAGTGCTCTGGCAGCGGCAACGATCAAGTCTCGCCGATGCTGCTCAAGAGTCGGATCTTTCTGTGTAGAGCAGAGGAAGAGAGTATCGCACACAGAGGCCAGTGTCACACATGGTGATGTGTACGCAAGCTTCACAACACCAGCATTACCTGTACATGTACCATGACAGGTCTTACGTAATATTTCTATCTACAGCACATGCTTGATCTATTTTTGTTGTTGAGAATATTGCCTTTACAGGAAGGTCAGAAAATGGAGTTCGGGAAAAGTGTTCTTGTTTGGAGGGAGAGAAAGAGAAAGAGAAAGCTTTAAGAAAGAGAAATAGAGAGAGAGCAAGAGAGAGAGAGGGGGGGGGGGGGGGAGAGCATGAAGCTTGTTTGTAGATTTCAGTGAGTGGATGTTTATGATTGAGGGCCCCTTTTGCGGACAGTGCTTTACTATACACTGTACTTCTGAAGTACCGGTAGTTGTTACCAGGTGTGTCCTAACACATCAGACGAGGCATTCATGTTTGAAGAAACCATGCTCCTTATCCGAACGCCCTAGAACCCCATCCCACGAGTCCAGAGATGTGGCGGATAACCGGCAGCACTCTACTGTACAGAGGGCGATGAAAAGTGATTTTCACACGCAGACTACACACATGACCGCCGGCAACAGTGAGTGGCAATGTTGGCAAACACACTCTTTAGTAGTGAGTCTTTACAAAGTCAACTTCTAACCACTGCCCACAATACATCACCAAGGAGTGAACTTTAGACAAAGCGGCTACTGAAAGTCTGACACCAAGGTGGCTCTATTAGAACCAAATTACATCTGTACTAAACCCTAATGAAGTGTTCACTCCATCATATTATCCCCTCACATCAGTACAACTATCAGTTGTCCATGGACAGTGTTCAGAACCACTGATCTCTAACCTCTTTAGTAGTATAGCTGATGCCGTACGCCAGCGGGTTCAGCAACATGCGCACAAAGAAGTAGGTGTAGTTCAGCCAGCGTACTCCATCCTGTATAGTACTGACTGTGCCCAGTGCAATCTGCACAGTAGCCATGTGCACGCACGCACACACATGCAAGCATGCACACACGCACACGCACACGCACACACACACACACACACACACACACACACACACACACACACACACACACACGCACACACACACGCACACACGCACACACGCACACGCATGCGTACCCATACACACGCACGCACGCACACACACACACACACACACACACACACGAACATACAAGAGCATACACAAGAATACACAAACACACACAAACACAAACAAGCACACACAGTTGGGCACGGATAGGCATATGCCATTCCCTACATGCACGAATAGTCAACAACCAATGGGGAGTGCACACCAAGATGTGATGTGCACTACATGCATTGGGGTAATACAGACCAGTCTGGCTGCAAAGCTGCACCAATGCCGGGGGCCTAGCAAACATGTAGCCATCACAGGTCAGTATAAAATATTGGGTAAGATTGCTCTCCAGAAAGTGAAGAAAAGACGATTGTCTGCGATCACACTTGAATTCACGTGCAACGAAAGTCAAAGCGACAAAACGCTCTTTCTTTTTTCCCGACACAAATCCTTGTCTCCCGAAGGCACAATTGCCCTACCCCTGGCTAATTGACTAACCTCGGCATTGAGATTATCGCGTAAGTACTTCTCATACTGACTCTCAATGGGCATCTGTCTGGTCAACAGTGAGAGATAGTGTGGTAACTTGTCATGTGATGTGATGATAACACCTTCGCCAAACGTATCGAACTGCGGCCGACCGGCTCTGCCAAAGATTTGCAGCACGTCCAGGATTCCAAGATCGACAAAGGAACCTTTCTCCGCATTGTAGATTTGAGTACCCTACAGAGAGGAAACACCAAGAGGGCGGATACATCTAGCAAGACCTTTCTCGCAACGTGCACTTGACCTGATGCCCGTGAAGCGATGAAGGCAAAAGATCGATTGAGAACATTCATTAGTCAAGCTGTGATAATTCTACTTGTACTTGAAAAGAAGGTAAGGGAGTCTAAACTCCACTGCAGCCACATCATTAGTTTTCAAAGTCATTCACAAACCATTCAACTTTGCTCTACTGAGTATGGTTTCTTCACTGCACTTGAAAAATCACTGAATATGGTAGCCTGGGGCTATCCACAAGACGATCCCTTGATCATATTGAGAGCGATGTCAAAATGGATAGCTTCAGTACGGCATTGTCATCCAGTTAGCTGGTGGCTATTCAATGGTATGCACAGTTGCAGGAAGCACTTTTGGAGAAAAGCCACTTGCATTCTGATTTCTCACCAGCAATATGATGCTGCATGTACTTTGTAGACACGCTCCATGGACAAAAACAGGTGATAGCATACATGTACATCCAGCTGTGAATGCACAGTGCAGTACAGAACTGGTAACATTATACACGTTAAGGCTGGTTCCAATGTGAGCCACAGTAGTTAGCTTGGCACAGTCAGCTGCTATAAGGCTGCCACTATACAGACATGTACTGTAAGAATATAGAGTAAACGTGTGTCGCATGTATCACTATGCTGGTACATGTACGGTGCAAGCACCTTCTTACCTTGATAATAACACAATGAGCTGGAAGATTGACACCCCAGGCCAACGTAGCAGTACAGACCAGCACTCGAATGAAGCCATCGGCGAACATTTTCTCCACCAGGTTTCGGTCTTGTCTCAGCATGCCAGCATGATGAATGCCAAACCCGTACTGGAAAAGTTCGCGGAATTCCTTGTTACGCGAGCGTTCAACCTAATACCACACATATATGGATAGCCATGGACAGTAGCACATCACAAGGCAGCTTATCAAGTTTCAATAGCCAATAATCGCTCCCTAGCAAGCACATTCAAATGCAGCAGAGTCCAAGCGAATTCAGAAGGTCAGGGATACCGTACTTAGGAATAGGTGAGCCCATAGCTACCCACCACTTGGTGGCAGATTCAAGTGAAAGTAATAGGGGGTTACGAGTCGTATGTGCATCAGCAATGATACAAAATGACCCAAGAGTGAACACCCAGACTGAGTATACAACTGTATACAACAGTTCAGGGGCGTTAAACAGGTCCGGCCGGTCTGCCTATGGCCGGACCACTTTTTCGCCTGACCATGCCCAGAATGCAGGATTTTGCACTCTGATTTCAAAAATTTCCCAGGGGAACCCCCCTCCGGACGGACCACCTCCAACGGCGGTGCTACGCCTGCAATCGATTGTAAGTTAAGCTAACCTGTTTCTCCGCAGCACCCAGTTCACGACTCTGCTCCGGCAAAAACGGGCCCGTGGTGCCGTTGGCCTTGGCCGTCTCACACATGTACCTTGCCGTCTTCAAAGTAGCATTGCGAGCATGTACAAACACCATCACCTAAAGCAGCAGAGTGCAAGCAAACAACACCAGACCAGACACCGTACGACACCGACATCAACCATAATTATTACACATGTATCCAGAGCATCAACGGCAGAATGACATGGACGGCAAATGCACTACCTATGCCTACATGACTATCCACTGTCAGCAGACTTGTACAGTGGTACATGGCAGAGGTATGACAACATGCCAGTCACTCCTACAAGTTTGCATAATGAACTTGCCATAATTATTAGTTGCGCAGCAGCAGTCAGTCTGAGAGACTCCTACGCAAGCCGTGGGATTTACTTACATCCCCGATAAAAGAAATACAGTGATACGTTGCAATTAAGTCACACATGTATGTGCTGGATGTGCTCACTGCTCAGCCAAGATGCAGCAACGCTGTTCGGCATACCTATTATATCCATGTGTGTACATGTGATGGTCTCTTGTCTCGTATTCAGCATGTGGACTTCCGGGAGCCTACTAGTATTTATTCCCGTAGCTATGCAGAAGACGTTACTTCAGTAACGTCTGGTGCTAGCCAGGGTCCACACAGCTTTAATTTGGTGTTTGTGTGTTTGTGTCACGCCTGGCGCTATCTCGTATCTGTCCCGTACCGTACCGTACCATCAAACACAGCTGGCCACATACAGCTGGCCGCACTATTCAAATAGGGCTTTCAAACGCAAGATCATAACGTGAAGCAACTTGGAAGAATGAGTATGAATGCGAAGTGTATGGGGGAATGCATGTAGGGCGATAGTGCGGGTTCGAATCCCAGGTAATGCCTGAAAAAAATAGGAAGATTGAAAAATTTATAACATCCCTATTCTTTTTTTGCCGTCATCAAGGCGGAAGATGGTGTCGTATTACCCTCGACTGTACCTGCCCCGTACCTGTCCCGTACCGTACCGTACAATCAAAGACGGCTGGCCACAATGCATATTCAAATAGGGCTTTCAAATACAAGATCATAATGTGAAGCAACTTGGAAGAATTAGTATGTATGCGAAGTGTATCGGGGGATGCATGCAGGGCGATAGTGCGGGTTCGAATCCCAGGTTATGTCTAAAAACAAAATGTAGAAATTTATAAGAATTTATAACATCCCTATGCTTTTTTTGTCTATGTCATCAAGGCAAGCGTAGGGCCCTGAGCTTCCAAGCTCTCTCGTTTAAGCCAAGCCGGCATCCACTACAAATCTACTTCGCTCCAGAACAAAAAATAGTTGGCAATGGTGTAAACTCACATTGAAGAAACCTAACTATTCGGTAGATTAGACAGAGCAGTGATCGGTAGATTAGACCGAGCAGTAATCGGTAGATTAGACAGAGCAGTAATCGGTAGATTAGACAGAGCAGTGATCGGTAGATTAGACCGAGCAGTAATCGGTAGATTAGACAGAGCAGTGAGCTGCTCACCCTAGCAACACACCCAGTAACACACACACGTACCTGCGTTCCTTTTTCCACCTGCTCCAGAGCTTTCTCGTAGCATACCGTGTCCATGTCACGCAGCTGCTGCAAGTGACCAGTTGACTTGATGCCGATGAACTTGGTACTAAGCGGCACGGGCCGGAAGCGCGAGTCAAACATGAACAGACCCGACATCGGGTTGACGCGCAGAAAGTGGGCCACATCAATGTAGTTAGGTAGTGTAGCAGAGAGGCCAACGATACGGATCATGCTCTGCGTGGACTCCACCTGATCACAGACGTGACAACACATACATGTACAACCAGAGTCATAAGTACGCAGGAACGAACGGTTACGAACCCCAATGGTGATAGACTGAACAAAGATAGCGATGTCCCTGACATCTAACCACCTGAGAGTACAGTGCTGCTCAACAAAACCCGATCACATGGGTCAAGTATACGCCGGGCGCTGTGTAGCCTTAGCTAGACCTGTGAACACTGGGATGCGAACTGGCGGAGGGCGCAAACTTGACTCACACGATCGGATTTCACTGAGCAACACTGCACATGTACCTAAAGATGAAGTATAAGAGATTCTTGACTAGTAACTTGTAATGGGAACACAGCAGCCAAATATACTGAAAAGCATAACATTGCTATGGCGGGCCTCAATGTCAGACCTCGTGCAACTATACGGGGTATTATTCCTGACCTGAGTTTTCTTCTTCTTGTTTTTTTTCACTCTTTTTCATCATTTCCCAAGACATATGAAGTAGGAACACTCCTAAGCCAATCGCGGCATTGCGGTAAAATAATTTTAAAAAACATACCGTATTAAAGGGGAAGTTAAGGCAAAAATTAAAATTTCACCAGTTGTAGTCTTCGGGGTGCTGAGTCGAATGGTCGTGGTCCGAGGAAGCTGAGACGCTCCCTTCCTACTTGAATCCCAATCGAACTCGCGCACTTCCACCGAAACTGGGTGACTGCGCCCTACGAGATGGGGATTTGTATGCAAAATGTCACTAAAAGCGCCATTTCGTTCTTATAAAAGCACTGATGACCGCGATTGGCCCATATGTTGTAGTCTTTTGGACGCTGAGTCGACTGGTTTTGGTCCGAAAAGGCTGCGATACAGCGTTCCGCCTTTATTCCCAATCGAACATGGTTGAACAAGCTGTCACGTGCTCCTGCGTACGCCAGTCACCTGGTCACCGTGCCTGCAGGGTACAACTTACTAGCCTGTTTGACCTTTTTTGGGTGCAGTCCTGTCACTCGAGTTGAACTCGAGTTGAACCTTGGTGTGAAAGTTGTCACCTGCTGGCGTGGTGACCAGGTGATTTGGGCACCCAGGAGCACGTGACCACTTGTTCAACCATGTTCGATTGGGAATAAAGGAGGAACGCTGCATCGCAGCCTTTTCGGACCAAAACCAGTCGACTCAGCGTCCAAAAGACTACAACATATGGGCCAATCGCGGTCATCCGTGCTTTTATAAGAACGAAATGGCGCTTTTAGTGACATTTTGCATACAAATCCCCATCTAGTAGGGCGCAGTCACCCAGTTTCGGTGGAAGTGCGCGAGTTCGATTGGGATTCAAGTAGGAAGGGAGCGTCTCAGCTTCCTCGGACCAAGACCATTCGACTCAGCACCCCGAAGACTACAACTGGTGAAATTTTAATTTTTGCCTTAACTTCCCCTTTAAAGATATAATAAAAGTAGGGAGGGTGTGACTGACCTGTCTCAGGGTTCTGGCTACCAGACTTTCGATGACAGGACCACGGTCGTCATGCAACAAGTGCACTTCGTCAATGATGAGTAGCTTGACTGCCTGCGTCAGAGCCACGTCACCAGTGCCCTTACGAGTGATGACGTCCCATTTCTCCGGTGTAGTGACAATCATCTGTACACCAACAACAACATCCACGCAGTACCACCACGACGGGTATGGTGTGGCCACAGAGCACAATAAACCAGAGCCACATGCACGCACACATGAGTACAGGAAAGAAAACAAAGCCACGAACAGTTCTACACCAGCTTCTTACCTGTGTCTTCATGATCTCACTCTTAGTGAGTTGCATATCTCCTGTGAGTTCCTTGACGATAATACCAAGCGGACTGAGACGAGTGCCAAAGTTACGCACCATTTCAGCGGCCAAGGCCTTCATGGGCGCAACATACACCACCTGGTTGACCAAGTAACAAAAAAGAGCAGCAAAGAGGCAATCAGAAACAATGCCAGCAAAAGTCAGGACAATAAAAAAGCTGAATCCAGCACAAGCATACTTCTGTGAGGTTGCAACATGGAACAATTCAAGAATAGAGGTGTTTCCCTAGAGGGCTTACTACTGCAACAATACATTCATACCCGACATGCTCATGGAATAAACCATTAAACTATTTTCAAAAATCACAATTCGTACACGCTTCACGTGGGACTTGGTCAGACGGAGCTTTCTGAGCAAATCATAAAAATGGCAATATTTGTGGAGAGCATGACAGCTGATAGGATCTTGCTAGCTAAGCCTGTTCATCAACACTGCACAAAAGTCTAGCTTTCTGGACAGAATACCCACCTAATCTTTCCCTACTCCCATTGTACGTATAAAACCTCGTTTATCCGGGCGCTTCGGAACCAAAGGGTATCAGTATCTCAATGTCGCCCATAACTCGAAAATAGGCCACAAATCATAATGGGCATGGCACATCAATCTCTTCCGTTGGACTTGATAAACCGAGATTGGTACCATTCACCAGCACATACAATATGAGCTGAGCCATTGTGCAGTGACTTAGTTCAGCTGACTGCAACGAAAAGGAAGTCATTTTTTCAAGAGTTGACAGTGGGTATCTGCCTGCAGGGTGCCCGGTTAAGAGGGATGCCCAGGCTATGCATGTACATGTATCCGGAAGCACATGTTTATCACAGTGGCAGTGGCAGCCTACCTTGAACTCGTCACGTTTGAGAAGGGCACCGTGTAGGTGCTGCTTGACCTCGTGCAGGATTGTCAACATGGCAACATTGGTTTTACCTGCACCCGTCGGTGCCGAAATCAAGAGATTCTGATTGCTGTTGAACGCAGCGTCATAGCAGATCGACTGGATACGGTTCAGCGACTTAGTGCCTGGAAAACAGAGCTGTGCGAAAGGCTCCAATTCGCTGATCTTGACGCGCCGTTCCGACTCTTGGATCGGTAGCGGTGGTGTGTGAGGAATGGACACCTCCTCAAACAACTTGTTGTTCTTTCGAGTCGCACTTTCAGGCAGCAGAATCTAAAGTCGATGCACACGGAGATAAAGAGTGATCACGAAGTCACAGCGTATTCTAGTACTCCAAGTACTCCAAGTACTCCAAGTACTCCAAGTACATCATACATAATACATAATACAGTCAAATGAACAGAAAATGTACACAAACACCAGCAGCACCAGCACAAACACTAACACTAACACCACCAACAGCAGCAGCAGCAGCACCGCCACCACCACCAGCACCAGCACAAACACTAACACTAACACCACCAACAGCAGCAGCAGCAGCAGCACCACCACCACCACCAGCACAAGCACCAACACTAACACTAACACCACCAACAGCAGCAGCAGCAGCACCACCACCACCACCAGCACCAGCACAAACACTAACACTAACACCACCAACAGCAGCAGCAGCAGCAGCACCACCACCACCAGCACCAGCACAAGCACCAACACTAACACCACCAACAGCAGCAGCAGCAGCACCACCACCACCACCACCACCAGCGCCAACAGCACCAGCGCTAGCACAAATACCAACAGCAGCACCAGCACCAGCACCAGCAGCAGGAATGGACCTGGGCAATACACCCCGGAACTTGTTCTCTCAATCAGAATCAAGCATAAAGAGTGAAAACCATACAAGTGAATGAATGCCGTACCTTTGCACCACCAACATACGCGGATGCTGATGCTGACTCTGCAAGCTTATCGAAAACAAACGGGTACTTTGGTCTTTGTCCAACAGCGGCCGAGGGCGCAGGACGCTGAAAGAGGGGTGCCTGTGCAGCGGCCTGTAGCATGGCTTCCCTGGAAGACACGCAAAGTCAAAAGAGGAAAAGGAAGAAAATGATGAAGGCACACAGCATACAAGACTGCAAAACTCCACGTGTTACAGTGTACGTACAGTGAAATATCAGAGTATAACTCCGGGGGACGTAAAAATCTGTACTTTATAAGTTTATAGCCGGCTACTATAGTGATACAGAGAGCTGAACTCTCCAGTCATAGAAAAGAACGGAACAGAGACGACATTCAGACGGAACAGAGACGGCATTCAGACTGCGGGTGGGTGTTGTCATTTTCTTAGTACGCACGCTGGTATCTGATTGGAGAGGATTGTGCAGTTCTGTACAGAATGAATGAACAGTCATGCTCAGTGACACCTGGTGACACTCAGCCCCGTGAATACGTCCGTGCTTTCCGCCAGTGCAGCACAACCCAGTGTTCACAAAGCAGGGGGCAGTGCAGTGCCCAGCTATAACAACACTCATGGAGGTGCATTGCATTAGCCGTGGTCGCATAGCACACACCGTAATGCATAGCGCAGTACCGTAAAAGTCCGTAAATAAGTACCTGCCCGAAAGAAATACCCCCTTCATTCTTTTGGCTCTGTCTGTTGAAGTCAAGTCAAGCCCCATAAACATACTGCCCGAAATAAGTACCGGTACGGTGCGCACATGCAGCATGTAGCACGTACATCTACATGAAAATGACCTCTCCACTACACACAAGTCAGGTCCGAAAGTTAGTTCGTGCCCGAAAGTCAGTACCCGCCCGAAAGTTAGTACGGGTGTGGTCACTAAATTCGAAAGTAAATACGTACTTATTTACGGACTTTTACGGTAACTGAGCAATACGCCAGTCTATCTTACCGTTGTATTCTCATCTCTTCCCTGCTCATGTACAGGCTAAGGTCTTCATCGCCATCCTTCCTTGACCGTCGCTCCTCCCGGCGCCCCTCTTTGCGCATCTGCTTCATCAGCTCCTTCTCTTGCTTGGAGTGCACCGTCACCTGGCAGCCATACGTGGGCATTTTCGGTCGCAGTGCTCTGTCATCGCCTGCCAAGGACATGTCCTCACCAGCCGACTCAGATGAGTGAATCAGACCAGCCACAATCAGCTGCCGATTCGCCAGCAACGTCTGTATGAACTCCATGGCTTCAAAGCCAAGCAGGTCAAACATCTGACAGAGACAATGAACACCGGGAACAACGACGACAACGACGACAACAACAACAAATAAACATTCGAACAACAGAGAAGACTTAACTACAGTAAACCTCCTAAGGACAATACCAAACCGACGGTATTTGTTCGCAAGGGGAGTTCTTCTTATCCAAATAGGATACCCAGTGAATACACAGTGACTTTATTAGGGCTATAATTTAATGAATACTAGTAATTGTTCTAAAGCGAAAGTTTGTTTTATCAGTGCTCTTCTCAACGAGGCTTCACTGTAGCAAAACAGTAATACATGTAGCTACAAGTCCGAAAGAAATTCTAGGACACAAACATCTACACCTGCCGACGGAAAGATGACCTAATGTCTCTATCACTCCAATGTACAGTGACCTGTCTTTAATCCAGCACCATCTGTGCTGTCGTGGTGTACATGAATGGAATATTTTGGTTGCTAAGCTTAACGTTATGCTGACTAAAGAGGGTGCAGACCTATGAAGAGTGTCACATTAACAAAGGAAAACAGTTCTAGCAGCTGCTAACCTGTCCCTGTAGCTGATCATCATTTTGCGATGAAGTTAACAGATCAAACACAGCCGTTGCCAGATGCTCAGCAGTCAGACCAGACGGGTTGAGGGAGGCGTACTTGGCCGACTCTTGCCGTAGCCATTCACTATCGTAGCCACGCTGTTGGGCAGTGATGGCCAGCACGTCTTCCTCGGCAAGCTGCTTCTGACGCTCTCGCTGCTGTTCAGTCTCTTTGACACCCCACTCCTGCTGGTGCATGGAGTATAGTGACCCAGGAACCGCACCATCAAACTTGATGCCCTCGCCAAAAGAATGCTTGTCATTACTAGAGTCGTTCGCTGTGGATTTGACTAGCAGGAACAGATGAACGCATACACACAGAATACATAGACAACGGGAACCACAGCAAAAAGCAATCAATCATAGGAACCAGAAAGTGGACAAGACAGAACGGCCTGCACAATTGTCATGTACCTTCATGAGTCTATGCACTAATACTCCAATGCAGTCTCACCTTCATTATCCTGCAGGCGTTTCTGGACGTTTGGTAGCTTCTTGAGCAAAGCCTGCGCAGAAGCGCATGCCTGGGTTGCAGCAGATGCTGGAAACGGTCCAAACATCTGTTTGATTTTCATGGCCTCTGCACGTCCAATGTGCTGACAATCATGCAGTAGCACCAGCAAAGACGCAGCCGCAGCACTGACCGCACTCTCCCCTGCATCGCCGCCAACTACAAGAGCAAGTACATACGCGTGCGCATTGCAAAGAACATAATAAGGCAAGTGTACATGTACACATGCACGCGAACACACACACACACACATGCACGCATGTGCACACGTCCTCTCTCTCTCTCTCTCTCTCTCTCTCTCTCTCTCTCTCTCTCTCTCTCTCTCTCTCTCTCTCAATCGATCTATCTACCTTACTTGCTTGAAGACGACCAAAGACTCACTGCACTACATAGGGGGCACAATGAACTGCTACAGTTCAGTTTCGCTATTTTAGAACAAAATAATGAGCAGGGCTAGAACTTGCCACTCACGAGTCCATGCACAATGCAATAATCAAACTACGGAGTGATGTAGGCCATACTTATTTTACACAGGGGACATGTACCCTCTGGACAGCGGCATAGACTTGATAGCTCCATCACATCTATGCGCGCTACACACAGGGTGCAAGGGCAAGCGCTAAAACGTGCTGCTGGGCTCTGAAACTACTGATGAAGTCTGCAAGTCTGGCGCGAGTTTACATATGAGCCGTGATCAGCAAAAACAGACCTATAGGTCAAATTTTTCAAAATGGGTGTTTTGCTGGACATGGTTTTTTTTATACAAACAAACAATGGGGAGTGCAATAGATAATGCCACCATAAGCTCTGACCTTGGTGATACTGAGCACCATCAACACTGTCACTAGCATCCTCTCGACTCACTTTTCAGGGGTGAACCAAGAGTGCATAATTCAACTCCACATAACCTCTACCACCTCATTCTAGTCACTAAACACTATAATATCATTTACATGCCGTAATGTGCCTGACTGTACACAGAACTGTATTGCACATTGTCAACCCAACACAACTTCAATGCATGCATACCTTTTTGAGCTGATTACATCATGAACAATGAAATAATTCTGAAAACAAGCCGTGACCGCTACCCATCCAGCAGTTTCACATTCTGGAGGTTATGTATCCTTACAACCGTAAAATTCCGTAAATCAGTACGTACTTACTTTCTAATTTAGTGGCCACACCCGTACTAACTTTCGGGCGGGTACTGACTTTTGGGCACGAACTAATGGGGTATTCACACGACAGGCAAATCCACGTGCACCGGAAAGTTGCTATGGTATTTTACCTGTGAACGAGAAAAGTGGCTGAAAGTGGCTGAAAAGTGCAAGCGAGCTGGGGGCCAACTTTCACGATAATCGTGGCGTGCACGAGTACATTTACACCAAAAACCGCGAAACAAGACTTGATTTTTTACGCGGCTCTTTAGAGCATGGTAATTATTGTATGCGTGTTTTGAAACTTTGAAATACCCATGGCTACTGGTCGGTGAAGCATTCAAAAATGCAAACGTGCCTGTCGACAAGTGCAGCTGTGTGAATCCACACAGTCACTTTTCTCGTATGTCACTCCCTGCAACTGCCCGGTGCACGTGGATTTGCCTGTCGTGTGAATACCCCATAACTTTCGGACCTGACTAGTGTGTAGTGGAAAAGTCATTTTCATGTAGATGTACATGCTACGTGCTGCATGTGTGCACCGTACCGGTACTTATTTCGGGCAGTATGTTTGTCGGGCTTGACTTGACTTCAACAGACAGAGCCAAAAGAAAGAAGGGGGTGTTTATTTCGGGCAGGTACTTATTTACGGGTTTTACGGTATTCCTTAGCTGAAAGTACTGAACTACTAGTATGAATATCCAGAACAGAACTACGCCTACCCAGGACCGTGGCCTTGTGGAAATAAAAAGTGAGAGAGAGAGAGTATGTGTGTGTGTGTGTATGTGTGTGTGTGTGTATGTGTGTGTGTGTGTGTGTGTGTGTGTGTGTGTGTGTGTGTGTGTGTGTGTGTGTGTGTGTGTGTGCAGGGGCGGACGTCGACATGGCCGATGTGATCAGGAAGCACCGCTTGCGGTGGCTTGGTCATGTTGCACGGATGAAGGAGACCCGGCTGCCTAAGCAGATGCTGTTCTTCGGCAAACTGCCCTGCAAGCGCCCGCAACATGGTCCCAAGAAGCGCTGGCGGGATGTTGTGTCCTCGGACTTTGCTGTCATCGGTTTGTCTGAAGCGGACTGGTATGACACAGCGCAGGAGAGATCCACCTGGTTTCAGTGTTGTCGACAGAGGGTCGAGAAGGAAGCCCCAGACATCCCGTGCCCCAACTACCGCTGTGACAGAGTGTTCCGTCGTCCTGGTGACCTCAAGCGGCATGCGCCATACTGCAGATTTCGTCAGCGTGAGGAAGCCATCGCTATCATTGCTACGGCAATGGGCGTTTAAGGTTCAAGGTTCAAGGTTCAAGGTGTGTGTGTGTGTGTGTGTGTGTGTGTGTGTGTGTGTGTGTGTGTGTGTGTGTGTGTGTGTGTGTGTGTGTGTGTGTGTGTGTGTGTGTGTGAGAGAGAGAGAGAGAGAGAGAGAGAGAGAGAGAGAGAGAGAGAGAGAGAGAGAGAGAGAGAGAGAGAGAGAGAGAGAGAGAGAGAGAGAGAGAGAGAGAGAGAGAGAGAGAGAGAGAGAGAGAGAGAGAGAGACCAAGACACTGCACTATTGTGTTGAAAACCATAATCTTATACTAACCAATATCAGATGCAGCCTTTGCGAGATCACGGAGAGGCTTGTGGAGCTATGGAAATATGATACAAAGATAAGAAAAATGTAACTGATGATGAAAGAAGCGGATGGAGGCATTCATGAAGGCAACTAGATGTAAACTTACATCTCCCTGTTTGTACTTTTCATACTCGTTGACTTGGGCGTTGAGAAAGTCCCAAGTTATTCCGTGGCTGGATTTCTCCCCTTGCCGTCGTTTACGCTTCGCACGCAATGCATTTCGCTGAGCCTCTGGGTCGTATTCATCCTGAATACATTCTGCTCCGGAAACAGCACCGCCATAGGCTCGAAGGGCACCAGTAACGCGAGGAAAATCACGCTGTAACATGGCCTAGTAGCTACACAAGTATTCCAAGTACAACATTATCAAGACGATACTGCCACCTAGATGTTGCCAACCAATAAATAAAAGGAACAATGACTTATGATTCTATTGCCACAAACATTGCAACACAGTGAATGAAAATTTTTGGTTTTCGTACTTTCACAGGATTTGATTTTGAAGCAGACCGGGTGATGACGTGATGTACTGTACGCGACATGCGCGTGCGACGTAATCATTTCTCACTTGGGGGTTTTCCCTCCCAGCAACGCAGACGATGAGGACTGCATGCATATGCAGCAGTGCAGTTGAACGCAACAGCAAGAATCGCCAAGATTAATAATAATATTACATCTGTGACACTGCTGTCGGACTGCATTGAAGGCAGAGCCGGGTCAGTTGAAGAAGGACTATCGAGTATCGTGGGAGTGGCCTCGGATGGAGGACGTGGTCATCATCTGATCATGGTCATCTGGATCTCAGGATCAAGTCCAGGCTGTCCAACCGCCCTGGCCTGCTGACTGAGACAGTCCGCTTTGGACCAAAACATTTGCCATTGTATGCGGATATCTACCAGTACATGAGAGACCATTGTCAGCAGACCACCAGCTACATACTGGCGCAGTACTAGTGGACATGAGCAAGGCATTCGATAAAGTACGGCACCAGCTCATGATCCAAGATTTGTTTGCTTTGGGTGTATCTTCGACTGTTTTGCGTTGGTTTGCGAGCTACTTCACGGACCGTCGACAGAGAGTAGTTCTGGCGAGTGGGCAGTGCTCGGGCCTAACTGCATGCGAGTGTGGAGTCCCTCAGGGTAGTGTACTGGGTCCTTTGCTGTTTTCACTATATACCATGGACGTCCATAGCGTCACCAGCCCAGCACACTCCCAGCTGTTTGCGGATGACATCCTTCTCGACACCGCAAGCAGATCCGTAGCAACCCTAAATCAAGTCTTATCAGTTGCTGTGTCAAACTTGGCTGACTACCTACACGGGAAAGGCCTGGTTTTAAACCCTGACAAGACGCAGGTCTTAGCCATTGAGGCATCACGCCGTAGTACCCTGGAACTCAACGTTAACTGCAACGGGACGCCTCTCACCCAGACCACCACTGCTCGCTTTCTGGGCCTACAGATCGATTCCTGTCTTCGGTGGGACGCGCAGGTCTCCAGCATAGTACGTAAAACTTCCCAGAAGCTAACCACCCTGAGAACCATCCGCCCGTCGCTATCTGAACGCCAGTCAGGCTACCTGAGTTTAAGCATGCATGTGTACCATACGCCTGTAGGGAGTAGTTGGAGTTGCTGCTGATCGCTCTGCTCTTCCTCCCCGTGCAGTTCAGTAACCCGCACGTAGTATCACAGATACATCGTATTCTCTCTCTCCCCCCGTTTACCCGCAGTTATTAGTATCCTATTCTCTTACTATGTGCTTCCATAGCTTTTACTATGTTCTTCCATAGCCACTTCTAGGCTAAGCCTTCGCCGTCATTTTATTGGGTCGTCATCCCGTTTGAATGTGCGAAGTGAAATAAAAACCAACCAACCAACCAACCAGTCGCTCCTCTTCTATTCTGCCCTTATACTTCCTGACATGCTTTATGGATCAAACGCGTTCTTCTCTGCCCTCACGGCTCAGCAGCGGCACCAGCTCACTGTCCTCGACAAGCGATGTGTTCGCTGCGTAGCCAATCTGCCCTTCCCGTCCCATACCACTCCTCCCCATACACTCGCCTTTCCCTGACCCCTGTAATTGAACGTGCCAAATGCAAACTCCGTTTCCTTATGCACCGTGTCCACACCAGCAGCATCAGCCCTCTTCTGAAAGATAGAGTAGCCCTCCAACCTCCCAGTAACACCCGTGGCAATGACAATTGCAAATACGTTGTTCCGCTAACTCGGCGAACATCTGGCGACAGCCGACCATTGGTTTCCGCCGTGAAGCTTTGGAACACCCTGCCACAGGAACTCACGTCCGCTCGTCGTCCAACCCCGTTTAAAAGATTGCTGAAAGTGTTTTTCTACGGTTAATATGGCCGAATAGCACCTCCCTCTGGCATAGGTCCTCATATTCCTATTTCTCCCTGATTGTTACTTCGTTCGAACTTGACTTGTAATTACCGGTGCAAATACTTCCTTTTGACTATTTTCTCATTTTCGCAAGTGAAGCTTTATCGAGCTACACTTTTTATTCTATCGCCATCATAATATTGGGCATCAATGCCCGTTTGGTTTGCGATGTAAAATAAAACTTCAAACAAACAAAAAAATTGCAGTGCATAGAGTAACAGGGTGTCCTGCTTTACAATGGTGGTAAGGAGGGACAGACTGCAACTTGCAAGTCTGTGGGCAGATAAGCTTACACACGTAAGTACATGTATTGCCAAGAGAACCCCGTTTCATGTACCCTTGGTATTGCTTCAATTTCAGGGCCGCCGGAACCGGTCGGTCAGGTTACTATCACCGCCCCGGGACCAACATTTTAGCCATCAACACAGTCATGTTCACTACATGTGTACCTGCCATTTCATACACCGTTGAAAGTAATAATTGAAAGTATGAAAGGCACTGAATTTGACTGAAACTACCGGACCAATCAAAAACTGCTTCCGGCGGTCCTGAATTTGTAGGAAAGCATGGTACTCATGGTCACGTTTGGAAAGTCACTAGCAGGTAACGTAGTCTTCACCGGCGCCTTTTTTATTTATTTTTTATTGGCCTGCCTCGGAGAAAATTGTGATTCAGTCTAACAAGGGTCAGCTGAATCGGATCGACTCAAAAGTTTGCGTTGTCGCAGATGTAAGCACCAACCCAGAGTGTACTTCCGAGTCATATCATTGAAATACCAGAAATGAAAAACTTTTTTTTTTTTTTTATTTACTTGAAAAAGCACATAACCACCAGGAAAGCTGACAAAGAAAAAAGAGTAAGAAAAGACAGATAAAAAGAGAGCTGAGAGAGAGAGAGTTGGGGTACGCCGGTTAGGGGAGGACTAGACATTGAATGGTGGTCGCCACAGTCACAGATAGTAGCAGTGCTGGTAAAACTCGGAAAAGCAGGCTCTGTGAACTCTTGCCTTGCCTCTGGGTTGGTGCTTTTAAAGTACATGTAGTCGTAGCCATAGTTTGGACCCGCCTTCCACAAAGCTAAAGCTGCATAATTATAGGGGACACCGTAGCAATAGAAGAGCGGTTATTGCTTGTTTCATGCATCTCACTACATCAGTATGCAGCGAGCGACGATAGGAAGCAGAGAATCTACAAAGTGGACGATTGCATCACGGGCATCAAGTTCATCTACACAAAACATTGTATGTGATCATGTGCCGCATAGCAACTCCCAGCCGAACAAGTGTGATCATGTGCATAGCAACTCCCAGCCGAACAAGGCTAGAAGCTCTGTGCTATTCTAGTGCACAGTTACTCCAAGCAAGCACTTTCAAGGCCGCTGGGCTTGGGCTTGGTTGAGCACTCTTTCAAAAAGTGTTCTGTCCTCGTGCGAAACTCACTGTTATCGCAGCACACTGACCTTGATGGTTGGTGAGTCGTTTAAAAAAATGCTTTGCTCTGTTCATAAGACTTCATTGCGATCGGTTTGGCCAGTAACCGTCTGAGCTCCGCTGACGATAACTAACAAGATCGAGACAGCTAGCTGTCCGGAGGTTGAGTAATTATCAAGAGTGGGGATACAGTCATAACGTTACTCTTGGTAATATACATACACTACAGTCAACACCTAAACTGGTCGGTATCCCGTTCTACAAAGTGTTCCCGTCGTCCTCGTCCTTGACGGTGGACAGTGATTTTGTTGTGACCATAATACACCAAATGGCATGTGTGCACGTGGAAGTCGTCGCGACAGCACTATGCCTGTTCTTATTGGCTCTGATGGACAGGAGCACACACAGAATCGTGACAAAGCCGAGATTATGGGAAGCTACTTTGCTGAAAAATGCAGTTGACTTCAGTGATGTTGCTACCGCCTTTCCCGATGTCAAACAGCGTTCACTACACAGAATAACAACAGTGCACTTTCGCCAATCTACTGTGAGGCGTGTGCTTAAAGCCATCAACCCGTCAAAAGCAACTGGCCCCTTCATCGCCAGAAGCAGCGCCTTTTCCGTGTCGCCAAGCGCCGCCAAACAGTAGCATACTGGTTAACCTACAAGGCCCAGAGGAATGCATATCAGAACCAGTTAAGAAATGCCAAGACCCTGTACTTCAAGCGCCTCAGTGAGAATATTTACGATGAGCAAGATGCCCACCTTTGGTGGAAGAAAGCCAAGACACTTGCCAACATCTCCTGTAAGAAAGATAAAGTTCCTGACCTAACGTGTGAGGGCTACACGGCACAGAGCGAACCAAAGAAAGCAGAAATGCTCGCGAAGGTATTTGAGCGCCAGTGCACTCCTGCTCACGGTACAGGTCCAATACCAGCACCAGCCGACGGCTGTCCGAATGAATTATTCTCTCTGCCAGTCTTGGCCGAATCCTCAGTGTACTGGGTGCTCCGAAGGCTCCCGCAGCATAAGGCAACAGGCGGGAACATCTCGAACAGGATCCTCCGAGAGATCGCACCATGTATAACGTCCTCTGTTACCAACCTGTTTAACGCTAGCCTCACCTTAGGTGAGTTTCCTAGTGCCTGGAAGCTGGGAACAGTAATCCCCATATTTAATAATAAAGGTAAACCGTGTGATCCCTCCAACTACCGCCCTATAACCCTACTCCCAGCTATTGCGAAAGCACTAGATTGTCGCCACCAAATTCGGTCACTATCTCGCGGTCAACCACATCATTGTCCCGGAACAGTTCGGCTTTGTCCGTGATCGCTCTACAGTTGACCAGCTGATACAGCTCACTACTAAGATCGCCTCGACCCTGGATAAAGGCATCCCTTACGATGCTGCATTTCTCGATTTTGCGAAGGCCTTCGATAAAGTGCCGCATAACGTGCTTCTCCAGCAACTCGGGACTATCTGTGATGCTGCGGCTACGAGTTGGTTTTTAAGAACTACCTCGATACGCGTACATTCAGCGTCCGCGTCCAACACCATCTGTCCTCCCCACGTCCCGTCAAGTCTGGAGTACCCCAGGGTTCCCACCTCGGGCCATTGCTTTTCCTGGTACATATCAAC